CGACTGTACAGCACGGTTAAGAACAGCAATCAATATTTGTGATAGACTAAATTAATTAGAAACTTCTACTACATCTTGCTTGCATGTGCGCGAGTTGTGTCCTGCCTCGCCGCAGCGTCTACAGCGTCTTTGAGACGATTCGCCCACCTTAACACGCGACCTCTTCTTCGCCTTCTTCCTATCGCTGCGCGCCCTAAACTCCTTTAGAGTTGTTAGTCGAAGACCTTCCTCGACTATAAGAGTTCCCTCCTTCTGTACTCGCTTTCTTTTATACGATTTACGTCGCGTAGCGGCCTCGTTAGCTGCTTCAAGCTCAGCGATACGCTTTTGCAACAACACTAAAGCATGCGCTATCATCTCTGCGCCTTTAGAGAGGCTTTTTACCGCCTCAACTATCAAAGTAGGTGAGCTATCTACATGCCTCTGAAACCTCTCAAGAACTAGCTTCGTTTAAGACCCTAGTTCTAGGGTATTGCTTAGGGTTTGCGACTGCTAGGGACCGTCCTCGACAGTAGGTAACGGTGGAGTACGCAGGCAGACGTCAAGCGTTGATACCACAGTGTCTAGGTCAAGTGGAACTAAGCCAGCGCCTCGAAATCCCCCTAGGATATTGCCCTTCGTGATAGCAGCGTTAAAAGCCGCTTTAAAGCACGGCAAGAACTCTATTTTAGTAATGCGAGTGATCTTGTTGCGCATCAGCTTCTCGGCTTAGCACCCATACGCCTTCTTCAACGGCGCAAAACACCCAACATCAAGCGGCTGCAGTAGGTGCGATAAATGCGGAGGCATGCAGAGGGTAATTATCTTCTTCTCCTCGCAGAGCCAGTGGAAATCAATCGAGTTGTAGCTCTCATAACCGTCGATAACTAGCAGGCGATAGCTGCTAACAACCCTCTTCTTTGTATGCTTGTCAAAGTGCTCTAGCCACTCAAGACCAAGCTCATTCGTTGTCCACCCGTTCTCAGAGACCCCAATAACCTAATCCTGGGGCAGGTCCTCTTCCTTGTACTAGGCGGAGAGGTGGTGCTTGCCGGCAAAGATGATGAAGGGTGGAATCGCCCACCCCATCGCGTTGATGCCCTGAATAGCTGTAACCCACTCCCGATTGCCCTGCTGCACTGTCTTTGGCCGTCCTCAACGCTCTGCTGCTGTGACTACCGCTCCAGTCGATATCACGCCCATTATGAAGCCAGTCTTATCAAAGTTGTAGGTGTCTTCGTCCTGGATGCCATACTTGGCTTTCATATTCTGTACTAGGCGGAACCAGCCTCCTATAATCTCAGAATCCTCGCAGAGAGCTCGACTATAGTCGTACTTTCGATTGAATTTGACTTTGAGCTCTAGGCGACGCTTCACGAAGTTTGCAGCCCACCTCTTGCCAACTAGGTCCTAGTTGCGGACCCAGAGCAAATTATTGGCCATCTCCTCAACGTCAGCGAGCCGAGGCGGGTATCCTTGCTCTGATAGCTTCAGAACATGTCGGACAATAGCTACCTCTTCTGATCCTCGAAGAGCTATTAAGTTGGGCATGCTATCGCGTCGATAGGGCGTTCCGGCACGTCGTCGTCTAAGCGTTCTTTCTAGCACGTTGTAGGCTTTAGCAGCGCGATATACAGTAAGTTTCGCGTCTTGTTTAAGAGCTTAAAGTGCGAGCTGTACTTGAGATTCTTTCTAGTCTAACAAGACGTTGTTACGTTGAGGCATCGCGAGGTAGGTAGAGTTTTGGTGGGGTCTTGGCAAAAGCCGGCCACTCGCTTGTCCCGGCCACTCGCTATGCACCTACGTTATGCTTGGGCGATTTGTAATTTCAAGGGTAAGTGTGTTATCAAGCTCAACAAAGAAGATGGCGAGTCTTGTACAAGCTGCAGACTCATTTCCCACTACTGCGCACCTAGCTACTCACTGCTCTCCATGCAGCTCATCCCAACAACACCATGGAGAGCGTTCGATCATCGTCCCATTAAACTACGTCGCCGACAACTGTCGGTAGCATAACGACGTCACCCAGTGTCACCAATGAATGATGGCCGCTACGGTAATTTCGTGGGGTAGTGTGCGGTAGCGGAAGCCCTCCGATCCTAGGGGAAAACCAACCAACTGCCGCAACTATCACGATCAGGTTTCCTTAGCCTGAATACACAGCATCGCGAGCATTAGACACATAACGGCGCTGCGCTGCGCGCATCACGACCGGATCCGTCTTATCCGAGATCAACGAACTACTGTACATCGAACGATGAGGAAAAAGAAAAGAAAGAGAAGCGTGGTGCAGGAACGCTAAGCGTGTGAGAGCATGTGAAGGACGTAACACCGACGCATTTTTCTCTATTATTATTAAATTTTTTTTTCATAGAGAATTTGAAACAGCGAAACTGGTAATGGACCTCACGTTGAGAGTCTCGACTGTATGCAAGAAGTACCCGCCCAGCTGCATTGTGCCTGTCAGCTTGTGGCTTGACGCTCGCGTCCACGTCAGGAAATTGTCCAAAGAACCCTGGAAGGCATCACGAGCTGTCAAGAAAGCAAGATGATCGTCAGCGCGAACTTGGCAGCATCATTCCACGACCTGCACATGTGTTGGATTTGAGTTTTTACCATCGGCGAAACCATCGGTCGGGGCGCAGCCTTCTGTTTGGCTGAGTGGTCCAGGTGTTTGATGAGATTGGGAAAAAGATATGACGTGTGGCGGTAAAAGCAGGGTTCAATTTGTGGGCTAGCTTAGCGTGGCTGACGCACGGGGTGCGGGATCGACAAGGAACTTTGACGGAACAAGGCAGGGACAAGGACGCCAATGATGTGAAGTCACTTCACATCATTGTGCAAGGCTGCGTCATCGCCTGTGGCAGTATCCATGAGGGACGACATAAATCCTTTTCTTTCCCCTGTGCCTATCTCGTATTCCAACTACAAACATCCTACCAAACACATACTTGGAGCATCGCCTTCTCTTGCCTCTTAAATCTACTCTCCTCCTACTTGCTTACTACCACCATCGCGACAATGGGTATCGGTGGTGCTGTTTTGAAGTCTGGCTCTACAGCGCTGTATGCGCTTGAGTTCTGCTGTGCTGCGGTTATCCTCGGTATTTACAGTTACTTCCTCGCTGTACAGGCGGATCGCAATGTCAACATTCCGGTTTGGCAACAGGCTGTCACTGGTCTTGCTGGCGGGACTGTTTTGTACACAATCTTTGCTGTCTTGTTGACTTGCTGCCTTGGCGGAAAGGTAAGAACATGCTCCAGCGATATATAGAAATAAGCCACTGACGATATCTCCAGAAAATCTTTGCTTTCCTCGGCATACTACTCGACATCCTTTGCTGTGGTGCCATGATCGCCGTCGCTGTCCTGACCCGTGACGGCGCATCCAGCTGCTCTGGCAATGTCAACACACCTCTCGGCGACGGACCCGCCAACTCCAAGGAGGGCTTCGGCTCCAACGGCCAAGGCAACCAGATCACCTACGCCGCCTCTCTCGGCACGACCTGCAAGCTCAACACCGCCTGCTTCGCCGTCGCCATCATCGGCGCTTTCCTCTTCCTGCTCAGCGCTCTTGTCCAGGTCTTCCTTATGCGCCACCACAAGAAGGAGAAGGCCTTTGGTCCTGGTCCTAACAACGGCTACACCAAGGGTTCCGGCATGAAGTTCTGGCAGCGCCGCAAGGCCAACCGCACCATGGGACACCGTGATCCCGAAGTCGGTACCATCCCTGCTACCACTGCTGGCGGTCTTGCTGCCCCTACCGCGGCCCACGACTACCGTCCCAGCCACGACACTGCCTACACTGGCTCCACCGTCGCTGCTCCTCACTCTGGTTTCGCTACCGACAAGCCTGTTACTGGTGGATACCACACCGCCCCCCACGTCGCTCCTACTGCCAACTACGCCAACACTGGCAACACTGCTACTTACGGCCAAGCCACCAACTACTAGACGCAATCATCCCATATCATCTACGAGACTGAGATTGGCGATGCTCTAGATTGTGCCTAGTCCTTCATGCTTTCAAGCATGGGAACTTTTCCTTTTTTGTACTCTATCACGACGTTTACGCATTATACCACGCGAGGGAAGAGAGGAAGTCGAACATTGAAGAAGAAAGACACTGTATGATAAAGCTGATACGAAACTTAATACTTAATGTCAATACTGAAGAAATAAAACGATCTCAAACATGCTTGTCCCAGCCAATCGTGTGTTGAAGTGACTTCAAACTTAATATGCAAAAAATCGACGTGATTTTGGACCAGCGCCGTGATATATGGGTGATCCTTTTTCCATCATTGCGCACTTGTGAGAATCAACATCAAAGCCGCATTCGATATGTACTGTACTAGGTGTGCAAAGTGTAGGATGGACAAGGGATGAAGGCTGTGGACGGCTGTGGATCAGCGGGAGCCAGTGAGCGTGGTGGCTGAATAATCCAACAAACGTCATACTTCGTTTGGCCCGAGTTCCCGAAACTTTCATTCACGAACCTATACACATCGCCATTGCGACAACACAACCCTATCTACAATATACCCAACCCTGAACTATACGAAAGATGCCCTCAAGCACACTTCCACGTTCTGCTATGCGCAGTCTAACCCGAGCGACGCCCTCTCTACGATCAGCACCTCGGCGCATTGCCACAAGATGTCTCCACCAACAATCATCGCCCATCACAGCCTCAGGATTGCAACATAGACCGACAGTACAGCCCTGGAGCCAAAGAGTAGCGGCACCTTCGGCGACAGTCGCGCGAAGAACCATGTTCATCCAAACCGAGCCCACACCAAACGCCGATGTAGGCATTCCTCAGACCCAGCGACATAGCCATACTAACAATCCCAGGCTCTAAAGTTCAATCCCAACCAGCGCGTCCTCCCAGAAAACATCTCCTCCCCGTTCCTCGAATACCTCAACCCCCGCTCTACCCTCGCCCCGCCACATCCATCCCCTCTCGCCGCCCAACTCCTCAACATTGACGGCGTAACCAGTGTCTTCTTCGGCGCCGACTACATCACCGTTACAAAGGACTCGGCCACCCCCTGGTCGCACGTCAAGCCCGAGGTCTTCGCCCTCATCAACGAATACATGACCTCGGGCCAACCCATCGTCAACACCGTCGCCGCAAAAGCTGGTGAACAAGGCCAAGGCGGTCAAGAAGCCGACAGTCTTGCCTACGACGAAAACGACGATGAAGTCATTGGCATGATCAAAGAACTCCTCGACACGCGCGTCCGCCCCGCCATCCAAGAAGACGGTGGTGACATTGAATTCCGCGGCTTCAACGACGGCCAGGTTCTGCTCAAGCTGAGGGGTGCGTGCCGTACCTGCGATTCTAGTACCGTGACACTCAAGAATGGCATCGAGAGCATGTTGATGCATTATATTGAGGAGGTCAAGGGCGTGCAACAGGTGCTGGATCAGGAGGAGGAGATTGCTATGAAGGAGTTTGCCAAGTTTGAGGAGAAGCTGAGGCAGCAGAAGGGGCCCGACGCGACGGCGGGGACGGTTGGCAAGGGCAGTCTGGATTATGTGGAGTAGATGGGGCCATTGATTATGTGATACCAATGCATTCATTCTGCAAACTGAAAAAGCTGTGTAGTAAGAAACTATATCATGTTCGTGAGTTCCAACCGTGTTTACATGACATGCAGCATGATCAAACTCAAGAACAGAATGATGGGGTATTCAGTGGTAGTACTTTAGCATACGAGAGTAGCGCTGAGCCGTTGAGCAAGTTCAAATATGCTACAAGAACAAACGATTGAGGAAAAGAGTCGTACTAACGCCGATATTCAACAATAACGAGGTAGGGTATCCTGAACGTGCCAATGCTGCTGCGTGGAGGAAACAATAAAGCAATGAGAGGAGAGAAAAAACCGAAACCAAAACAACAACAACAACGCCCTTTGTATGCTTTCATATGCTCCCACACATGGCTTTCCACAATCGTCATATATCCAAATGCAAGTCATCCAACCTCCTTCTTTTCGTCTCTTTCATATGTCAAATCGTGAACCTTCATGATAAAAAAAAAGATTCCCATGCCTGGAAACCGGTCATAAATCGTCAGACACACACACACATGTGTTCTCCAGTCAGGGCGGCCGTAAAAACACACACACAATCGTCATATCGTTTCCAGAGTCATTACGAGCCGTCTTCCAGCAGCAGATGCGAAACAGCATCTAATGCTTCGCCCATGGAAGCCCAAAAGCTGCGTCTTGGAGGAGGTGAGCGGATGATGTGAATGACCTTCCTCTTGGACAGTGATGATGATGATGCTGATGCTGATGCTGATGGCAACGACAACGACGACGGCACATCATCCGCAACTAGCGTGTCAACAGTACTGCGCAGTAACTTTGAGTATTCCTCGTGAATCTCGCGGGACAAATCTTGTACTTCCTCCTCGACTAGCGTCATACAACTGTCTAGCATGGATTCTTTCTTCGAGTCCTGCTCCTTGTTCTCCTTGTTCTCCTCCTCCTCCTCCTCCTCTTTCTCACCATCTTCGTCTTGTGAAACTTGATTCCCAGCCTCAAAATCCGAGAAGACGGACTTTACAAGATCATCTTGGTGGTAGTAGTGCTGGCTCTTGTCCAAGTCGTCGCGCAGACTCTGGCGAACTAATTTCATCTGCTTGCGCAAATCGTTGATGACGTCGAGTTGGATGCGATTGAGCGTCTTGACCTCGTCCATGCGCGTTTTGAGGTCGTAAATGTACTTTTGCACACCCGCGATGTAGTTGCCTACTTGCGAAACATAAGCCTCGTGCTGTAGCGTTTGGGCTTCATGGAGCGTCGCTTTCTCACCCTCTGCTTGTGTGATGCCGAGCCCCTGACCAACGTCTCGAGAGGAGGACGAGGACGAGGAAGACGACTCCTTGTCGTGCGTCTCGTTGGCGTGTGCGCTGGGTGTGGAGAGATGGGCTGTCATGGCTTCGAATTGTCCGACTATGTATTCCATTTGGTCTTCGTCGGGCTGGTGTGTTTGGATGAGGTTCTCAAAGTGCGCGATACACGACGAGAGGGCGTTCTGCACGGGCGACGACGTTCCTTCTGATACGTCGGCCCAGGGCGTTGGAGAGCCGGGGCGCTCGGTGTGGTTGCGACGCAGTACGCGCGAGCTGTCGGGCGTATAAGGATAGCGCAGTTCGCCTTTGGACGGTGGAGGTGATGCATCGTCGTAGTATAGCCTCGTAGGTGTGTATGGCGCTGGTTCTGTGAGTCGGGAGTTGGGTTTCGGTCGTGGGCCTGTCGTGGGTGTGTTCAGTCCGAAACTATCTGTGACCCAGGAAGGCTGGTCGGGTATGCGTTTGGCCTCTTTCAGCCAGCGCTGCTCTGTTGCGGTAGGATATTGTGGAGGAGAGGTACCGTAGATGTTGAAGTAATCTGGTCGCGGGCTGGATTCGTCCTCGATCTCAGGCGGCGTCCATGGCCGTTCCAGGGTCCGGGGAATGTCCCTTGCGCCCTCGTAGCCCGACCGAAACATGCTCTTCTGTTCTTCCAGAAAGATGCGCGTACAACCCGGGAGCTCTCGGGCTATATTCGCGGCTTGGAGAGCGATGCGCTGGTGTTCAAGAAGCCGGAAACCTGCGTGGATGCGGGAGACGGGAGGAGGCTGGGTTCACCGCCTGTGACGTGCGTGCATGGCCTCGGTCTGCAGCGTGGGTAGTGCGCCAAGGACGTGCTATCGATAACATTTCGTGGCCCCTCCCATTGGCTCGTGAATCATTAATTCTGGCTTCAATACATTGCGACGACTCTGTGACACTCATTCTGCCTCCTCTCTGTCCATAAAGCAGTGCTGTAGAGATACGCTCCATACTCCGCAAACATGGCGCCACAGGTATGTCTAGAATCACACCATCAGCCGACCACAGAACTGAGCGCATGACTATTTAGCTGGGCGTTCAGCCATCGCTTGACACCATTCGAGAGGTATTGGCTGCAGCAGTCAAATCGCCCAACCCACCAAACCTCGTACCCGTATTCTCCTCAATTCCCGCCGAGTTCTTGACCGCCTCAAGCATATACCTGAAGATATCCGCAAAGTGAGTGTGACTCATTGCAGCGCAAGTGGCGTGGGAGGGGTTGTGCCGGTTTGTGATAGGGAAATCGACAGTGTCAGAGGACGATGAGTTGGTTGCACGCATGCTGACCCTGGGCTCAGATCAAAGTCAAAACTCTCATTCCTCTTCGAGAGCGCTGCAACAACCGAGACCATAGGCCGGTACAGCTTCATTGGCGCAGGTCGGTACTTGGAAACAAACTTCCGGCAAACACAGTTGACAAGCTTTCAGACCCTCGCAAAGTCATCAAGACCGGCCCTGGTCATGGCGAAGAGACCGACCCACTACCCCTCCTCGAGAAGGAGCTTGCGAAGAGCCGCGTCGCGACCGTACCCTCAATACAACTACCGCCCATGACCGGCGGTGCTGTCGGATATGTTGGCTATGATTGCGTCAAATACTTCGAGCCCAAGACAAGGAGGGATGATATGAAGGACGTGTTGGGCGTACCGGAGAGCTTCTTCATGCTCTACGATACACTGGTGGCTCTGGACCATTTCGCACAGGTTGTAAAGGTCATAACATACGTCAAGGTACCAGACAGCATGGACGACTTGGAACAAGCGTACGAGGAAGCGAAGAGTACGCTGAAGAGATACGTGACAGTACTCAAGGGCAAGGACATTCCGCTGCCAGAACAAGGGCCTATTCAGCTCGGTAACCAATACACGTCCAACATTGGACAGGACGGGTATGAGAACCATGTCAAGGAACTGAAGAAGCACATCAGCGTTGGCGACATCATCCAGGCGGTACCATCTCAACGGTTTGCAAGACCGACATCATTGCATCCCTTCAACGTATACCGGAACCTGCGAAACGTCAACCCCTCACCGTACCTATTCTATGTCGACTGTGACGATTTCCAAATAGTGGGGGCAAGTCCCGAGCTGCTGGTAAAAGAGGAGCAGGGTCGCATCATCACTCATCCCATTGCTGGCACCGTCAAGCGGGGCAAGACACTGCAAGAAGACGCAGCACTCGCGGAAGAATTGTCCAACTCTCTCAAGGATCGGGCCGAACATGTAGGTTCCCTGACGACAAGATGCATGCAGCGACGTTGAAAAGCTTACAATGCCTTCGTAGGTCATGTTGGTCGACTTGGCTCGCAATGACGTCAATCGCGTGTGCGACCCACTTTCGACACGAGTTGACAAGCTAATGGTAGTCCAAAAGGTGAGCTGACTGCCGTCCGAACCGTGATTACCGTGGATCGTGCGATGAGCTACCGTGCGATGATATCAAACCCAAGAGCTATGCTAATTGTTGTCGACGAAACCAGTTTTCACATGTGCAGCACCTGGTCTCGGAGGTCTCAGGGGTGTTGCGACCTGGCAAGACGCGATTCGACGCGTTCCGCTCAATCTTCCCCGCTGGTAGGTAGCGCGGTGGAAAAAAAAGTTGGAAGTGTGGCTAACCATGTGTAGGAACGGTGAGCGGTGCGCCCAAGGTGCGCGCCATGGAGCTCATTGCCGAGCTTGAGCGGGAAAAGCGCGGTGTGTATGCTGGCGCGGTGGGATACTTTGGCTACGGCTCTATTGATGGCGACAAGGAGATTGAAGGTGCCATGGACGTGAGTAGTCTTGCCTTGTTCGAGGTTGACAGGAAGCTAATGCCCAGCAGACATGCATTGCGCTAAGAACCATGCTTGTCAAAGACGGCATCGCGTATCTCCAAGCAGGGGTTGGTTTGACGAATTCCCTGCTTTAGTGTGCGGTGCACGAGCTAATGATTGGCTGCAGGGCGGCATAGTGTTTGATTCGGACCCTTACGACGAGTGGATGGAGACGATCAATAAGTTAGGTGAGTTTATTTTTCCTTTTGGTCGTCTGCTCCGAGTCGACGCACAGAGCTGACCGCTGTTTGGTAGGCGCGAACACGCACTGCATCACTTCAGCTGAAGAGAAGCATCTGGCCGAGCAGCAGGACAGCGCAGACGATGGCGAAAAGGACGCGTCGACGCTCGAGGGCGATGCAAAGACGCGCATTTCTCTTGCGGCTTGATTGTCAGACTGCTGCGCCATGCGCCACGATTGATATCTGCCGTAGGGTGGTTGGTGATTGGCAGCGATTGGTACGTCTTGACCCGGTGAAAGCGATCTATGGGCCTGGATCTCACAAGCTCCCCTGCCACTCGTGGGGAAGCGAGATTCATGGGTTCGCGGTAGAGTTATGAAACTGAAATGAGAGGGCGGGTATGCATTACTGGCGGCAGACGCTACCACAACGTCACGAGCGAGTGGTGGTGCTTGAATACAAACAAGATTTGATTAATTTTGCAGCCCGTCACACCAGCGCAAGGGGACATGTAGACGGCTTGATGCTGTGTGAAAAACGTGCCTGTGTGCGCCTGTGAGGAGCCATGACGAGTGTGACGGAGCAGATACCACCGTCTGTGCGATTTGCAACGACAAACTGGTTCGACATGTGAGTTGTACATGCAGGTTCGGATATCGGCCGCTTGGGCGTGGTTGGCATGGCTACATCATACGGTAGGAGCGCCCGGGGCATTGGCCAATGGGCGCGCAGGGTGCAGGTCGTGCTTTCCGCGTTTCCTTGCTTTGGCGTCGATCGTGGAGTTGCTGTGCCTGGGCTTGGCGGCCCACCCCTGCACACGACTAGACCCGCTACTGACGCTCCAACCCGTCACCAGCCCGTTGCAGCCTCCTGTTTGCGCGCGACTTCACTCTTTACCAGCCACGGACCAGCCCCAACTGTTTGTGTCCCCTACGATATAAACCCACTCCTCTTCCCCTCTCTTCCCACCTCATCACTCAGCATCCTCAACCTCAGCAATCAACTCACTCACCTTGACTCCACTCCCACTTCGATACCTAGTATCCTACTCCAATATCCATCTCTTCCACACAAACACTCCTCCCACCTACAGTCAAGATGAAGTCCTACGCTGTCCTCGCTGCCACCTTTGCTGGTGTTGCCCTGTCCCAGGACATGCCCATGCCCAGTGGCGACTGCGCCGTAAGTAGTCCTCTTTATTTTCTATTACTTTGTACTAGTACTAACCTTCGCTTAGAACCTCTGCATTAACAACATGGCCCGCATTGCCCAGACTGAGTTCTCCTGCGGCTCCGACGACATTGGCTGCTTCTGCACTCAGTCCAACTGGGCTTACGGCATCCGCGACTGCTCTCGCCAGGCTTGCGATGCTGACCAGTCCGCCCAAGCCGTCTCGTGGGCTTACGCTCGCTGCGCTGGTGTCGCTGCCACTGCCTCTGGCTCTGGCGCTCCTGCTGCTCTTCCCATCCTGACCTCCGCTGTTGCCAGCGCCACTGCTGTTGCCCCCGGATCCATGGTCACCTCGGTCATTACATCTGTCGTCTCCAGCGCCGCATCTGGTGCCGAGAGCGTTACCTCTTCCATCGGATCTGCCGCATCCTCCGCTCTTGCGTCTGGCGAGTCTGCCATCAGCTCTGCCCTTGAGTCTGCCAGCTCTGCCCTCGCCTCTGCCAGCGCCAGCATCTCCTCTGAGCTTGCCTCTGCCACCGACTCTGCTGGCAACGCCATCTCTTCTGCCACTGACTCTGCTGGCTCCGCCATCGCTTCCGCTACCGACTCTGCTGGCAGCGCCATCTCCTCTGCTACCGACGCCGCTGGCAGCGCTGCTTCCTCTGCTGGTAGCGCCGCTTCCTCCGTCGCTGAGGGTTCCGCTCCCATGGTCACTGGCATTCCCTTCGCTGCTGGTGCCGGTATTGCCGCCTGGCTCTTGCTCTAAGCGTCTTGCCCCACAGACAGGCTTTTCTCATGTGAGGCCTGCTTCATTGTTAGCCTCTGGAGACACCTCGATCCAACTCAAGATCCTTGCCTGACGGTGTAATGTGTATAATGATGGGCGGTAATGCAAAGTGGGCTTTGGATATTATGATGGATGGGCAGCGCTTCTCTTCTTTCCTTAACGAACACACGCAAAAGGCATGATGATAACGACGGATTCGTTATGCCCGGGACTGTTTTCTTCACGACTGCGACTTGATACCCCGAATATGGGAACTGGGACGGGCCTCTTAGCATTGGCCTCTGTATATAGTAAATGAATGATAATACACTCACGATACCATCTCTTGTTTCATCAGTGACTATACATCTCTTACTCTTTGTCTGCTCCTGCCCTTGCTGCTATGATGCCGTTTTCGCGATCGCGGACATTCGAGCAGCAGCCACGATTAGGCTGCCCTGAACCGACCTTGTGCAACGCTACAGTGCGCCACGAACGTGAAGGGGTCATGCAAGTCACACAATGGAGGAAGCTAGCAATGATGAATCGTCATGGTTGCAGATGATCGTAGTGGAGGTTAACAAAGTGGTGGAATGTAAAGCAGAAGACATGAAGTCAACTTAACCTCTCCTCCTCCTCCACTTTTATTATCCTTTTTTTTTCTCTTTGATTACGTTAATCAGTCAGCACTGCACAGCCCCAGCCTCGTTTTGAGGACCGCGGCCCCATACCTATAATGGTGGTTTGTGCGTAAACTTGCGTCTTTTGTTCAAGTGCTGCTGATTCCAGTCGGACTAACTGCATTGCATTGCAGATCGTGTATATATATATATGTGTGTGTGTGTGGAGAAGGAAGCACTTGGACCATGTGTTCACGCATGCATGCCGTGCGATTACGACATGTTTGTGCAGAAGTTTGTTGAGGAACGATGTCAGTGCGTTGGCGCAGACGGACGGGAAGAGTAGTGAGATGGGCTGGTAACGGTAGTGGTAAGGATGATGGGGGAGGGTGCTGTGAGGTGGCTGAGGTGGAAGGGGGGTTCCGGCGGCTTCCGGGGAATGACACCATTGTCATCATTCACACATCGACACGTTGTCTCTGATACAGGCTCAATGGACACATTCTGTAGTTATTATTCTAGATTGTAGATAGGCTGACTAAATCAATTGATCTTCATTGCTCATAGCGTACGGCTTACAAAGTTGCTCTTCACTTTCAGCCTTGTCCGGATATTACCTGCAACATTAGTAACTTACTCTCATTGGTCGAGGCACGTGAACGTACTTCTTATTCTCTTGCTTTGTCCCTCCCGCTTCTTTCGAGTGCCAGTTTACAGGACAACCACAAGAACAGCACGTCCCATTGAGACCTCCCTTCTCAAACTTGGTGCAATCGCAACTCGAAGTGTCGGCACCACTACCACTGGAGCATGCCATTTTGGAAAGAGCGGTGCGAGGCTGAACGTAAGAACTAAGACTATGTGGAAGGCTGTGATAGTTCAAGGGATGAAAGGTGAGTGAACGATGGTCTAGAGAATAGATGATAGTACCTAACAACCACGTTTTATATCCAAGTAGCGAGTATGAGGCTCTGCCTTCCTCTTCATCTTCACCGATAACTGCTGTATAGAGACCGAATCATAGCCTGACACACTTGACGTATGATCTTCTGTACAACCACAACCTATCATCTATATGTATCCAAGCCCAGACAGTCATACGCTCGCCGCAAACGGCGATTTGTAATCTTTGGTATTAGCTAGGGTAGACGAGAAGTTCCAAAAGGAGGCTGATGCATGATCTTACATGCAAAGCTGGAAAGAGCTGTAAGAACACAGTCGAATACAAGTGAGTTTTGTTCGAGTGGATTGCAGTGAAGCAGAAGACATCTAGGTAGATTTATGGTAGGGCGCGCACGGACAGAACCTTGAGGGATTCACGCTCTTGATCCTACTCCGCGGCTCCATGTCTGATGATTTGTGCGAATTTGCGTATTCAGGTGCTTACGCGTGGTGGATCGCGGGTATCAGGGAGTCGTAGATCTTATGGGGTTGGGTAGTGGGGACGGGAGCGCGGATCAGGCGTTCAGTTATGCTATGATTATGCATTGCGAGCAAGGGTAAACCGTGTCGTTGCATTTATGGAGACAGCCGGCGAAAGCAATAGGAAGGGGCAGGCTGTTAAGTAGTGGTTGGGATGATGAAGTTGTAGTGGCAGTTCGTGACTGGGGCTGAGCAAGGTTCCATTGCCTTCCGCACAACGACTTATCCACACCTGCATGTTCTTATGTGTTGCGCCCAATGAGCCAGAAAAAGAGAGAGAGAGAGAGAGTGTGTGTGTGTATGTGTGCATCTCTTCTTTTCTGAGGAGGCTTAGAAAAGGTGGAGCCGGTCTTGCTTCTGCTTCATGTTTCTGACACACATGATAAATCTGTGGATACGTAAGTATCACAGCTGTTGCGGAGCAGTACATTTCCCCTTTATACTGAACGCCCGCTTGAATCTTCGCTACAAGATCTGCACCATCGAACGTGCAGTCGCTCGCTGTTTGTACAGTTATTGTATGATGTTGTTCATTTTCGCTATCTCGGCCTCGGCCTCGACGCCGCTTGTTGAAGCCTGGCGACTGCATTGTTCTACGTTTTGGTCGACTTCAAAAATCCTAGTATTACACTGATCGCGGTACATCCAATCTTGAAGAACTATGCGCTCGCGATCATACTATCAAATATCTTAGGCCTTTGTCTTCAAAGACCGAAGTTTAGTCTCTGTTGCATCACGAACTTTTACTCCTTCTCCACAAGAATCCTTCCAGTGGCCAGCGAGAAGGCGGCGAGTCTTCGATCGCGAATCCCGTAGCATCCACCACCACAGAGGCGAAGAAGAAGTGTTCCTCCGTCCGCATCGCTAGCACCCACTCCTGTCATCGACGACCCAGTGTCATAGCCAGTCACGATAAGAAAAGAGCCTGGAGCGCCATCTTGGAGTAACCCAGAACTGGTTCTACAGACTCTTGAAAAGTCTTTCTGTCAATCACTGCACGTCAGTTCTTTGTCGATGACAGAGGCGCAACATAGCGAGACCACGGTCCTGATCTTCTACCCACATCCTCCTCTATATCCAGCTCTTTTGTGTTTGGACAACCAGATCCTTCTGCATTTGCTGAACCAAAGCCATCAGTGCCTGATAAGACGAAACGAGACGATACAAATAAGGAAAAACTCACTCTCACAACGGTCTCGACGACAAGGGAGAATTTGTGAGGCAAGGCGAGTTGAAGCGGCGGTTTTGGACAATAATATGAAGATGTCGTAAGGCTTGTTGTAACTCCTTGAGAATGCGCAGTTGGCTTGCTAGATTCCTGGGTTATGCCAGGAGATGAAGGTACAGGATTAAACTTTAGAGATAAACACCCTTGCGCTATCCATGCGAAGGTGCCGATGGACGGGCGTGATGACATTCGGCGCTTTGATGGCCGGGGCTGTAATTACAATATTGGCCGAGTTATCTTACATCCGGAGCATGTTACTAGAGTGACAAAGATACCGAGAAGGAGAAGCTCGAAAGCCAAGGTTCCGTGTTGCCGTAGCTGTTTCAACATGTCAGCCGACATCATCGCTAGGCGACTAATGTAAAGCTGCTATGTTCTGGATACAAACGTCCTCGGGCATGATTTCATCGCATGATTGCTCCACAAAATGGGCAGTTGTTCCGATATCTAGGATGGTCCTGGCAGATGCGCATGAATTCTCCGTATTGAGATGCCAAATTTAGCATTTGCGGGTGCAGATACCCACCGACGGGTAGCTACTACGGATGAAGTCAGAACAGCCGGCGGGTAATCACGTGGGCTCCTCGAAACACCTACCTTCTGAACGACGTGTTTGATGGCTTTCCAAGCTTCAAGGTAATTTCCTTTTCATAGAAACTCTGAATCGACATGTACTGAGCTACTAGACCCTGATACTGACACCATTACTCTACACGGCTGGAGGTGCAGCGAAGGGTCGACGTAGGCTACCTACGCATCGCTGCTCCACGATACGAGATAATGTGGCTCGCTCGATATATTTACGAGATGATTATCGGGGTCCATGGCCTATGATGGTCTGTGAGGGACGTGTGCGATGTGGAATGACCGCAATGCGTAGAGAAAGGAGGCGACCAGAAAACTCACTCGCGCCGGTTGGTTCGAAATCTCTTTCCCCACAAAAATCTGCAAGGATCGACTACACGAAAACTGTCTTCAGCGTCACTGCTCGTAACTGTTCCCAGTCTGACGTCCGTTCAGCGATTCACTGTCCGTGGAGCTAATCTCAATGTAACATCGTATAGATATGTCGAAAGCACAAGCATTCGCCGCACTGGCGCCCGAAATAGACGAAAGCTTGTCCATGCGGTTGTCAACGACAGACATAGACCGACATGCATATATAAACGTTGAGAGTCTTCCATCAAGTCTTCACTACCCAGCATCCATCCGTCTCTTCCTACCAAAACCTGCTCATCCCACCCCCCTTCGCTACCACCCCACAAATCAACCATGAAGTTCGCCATCGCTGCTCTTTTCGCTGGCATTGCGGCCGCCGCACCTACCGCCTCACCTGACGTCCACGGTGACCCCTACGAGACCGTCACCATCTCCGACTTTTCCTACGCCTTTCCTTACAAGGGAGAACCACAGATGAACTTCTATATCCACTCTCAGCGCGTTGATAACGTCCACTGTGCTGCTGTCAACTTCGAGGTTGGTGGTGTCTACAGCTGTGACGACCCTTCATACACATTCCGAGTCCTGGAGGAGACGGGCCACCAACTCAGATTGGCTCACGTTCTCAACGGGTGAGTTTCCTGGACGAGTATCGAGTTGGGAGGACGTGTGCTGACATTGATATAGACCATCCATGGTGGGCGACTTCTTTATCAGGATGTATGGACCTATCCCTACTGCCCTCTCACAGACCGGCACTTCCACAGCCGACTTAGACAAGGAGGGAACCGCTTAGAAGAGCGGTTCTATATATTTTGAAGGACTTGGCAGCTAGCTAGATCCGTAGCTGAAATGATAATGTCTTTTTTGATCATCAAGAAGGTGTAACCCGCGATCCATGCCATAATTGCGCTCTGAGCAGGAGAGACATCGCTGGGACGAGTGTGCATGTTGTCCTGGCAAGGTATTGTTCACCTGAGCCAGCGAGGCATGCAATCGCTGTGTTTGAACCTATGGGCAGATGTCTTCTTTTGGTACGCTACCGTGAAAGCCTTAGCTGATCCCGATCGTTATACAGAAAATCCCTGGCGACCTCGCCAACATAGTAGAGATTCTCAATTCTGGCCAGGTGACCTAACTGCATACCGTTACCCGTGTTATTGGTTTGAAAGCATCCTCTAAATCGCCATCTTGTGATACTGATACTTTTGTCCGGACCGTCCGGAGGTTGTTCTTGAGCACATTCTTCTGGTGATGCTGTGCCACAGCATCTCTTCCTCCAAAACCAATAGCATAATACGCATAGAACCGAGATGAAGATTGGGACTATAACAGCGACAACAATGCTGGCTATTGTGAGTTCCTTCTTTCGCGGCGTTGCGCGATTAAAGTTTTCGAAGATGCCTTTGACCTCCTGCGAGGCATAACCCGTTGGAAACATGTTTCTGTTCTCGTCAAGACTAGACACGGAGTCAAATCTAAGCTATTTGCACTAACCTGTTCGCATATATTCTTCTTACAGATTCTGGTGCAGTATAAGGTGGAGCGGATGCGTTATAGCCGTCTTTCAGTGCCACGTTAGTCGTGTCGATGACCCCGACACCCTGAGACCACTCGTCCGTCATGTTCCATGGCGCATTCGATTCTGGATTATGACCGCCAGTGCAAATAGCTTGGTTGTTACCAGCAGAGCTGCACTTCATCAGCACCCGGCGTGGGTAGTTCGTGAAGGATGTCTTGGTCCATCTGAAAGCCGGAAGAGACAGAATATAGATGGTGTCGCTCTTAGATGATTGGTCGAAGCGGCCGTAGGCAAATCGTTGAATTGGTTAGCAATGTGGAGTGATAAATGTCGATTATAGTGATGCTTACATTTCGAAGGTTCCGTTCTCCTCGTCAGTCTCGGACCAGAACGCAAGTGTGTCAGGGTTTGTTCCTAACTTAGGTACATCTCCTGTCGTAGGTTGGTGATATGAAACCTTTTTATGCTTGTCGTAGATCCACACGTTACTCCAGCCAGCTCCAAATTCGTTGTCCGTAGCGTTCGGAAATGTCAGTCCTCCGAAAGAAACTAACGTGCCCTCCTGTGGTCCAAAGGGGACGTTGAAAAGAGGCCCTGACCTATCCCGCGACTCCTTGAGACCAGTAAATCGGGATGAAAACAACTGTCCGTCATTCGTAGAATTAGTGAGCTGTTTCGTGTCGAAGTCAAATTCGACCAATCCCGAGACGCCGAAGTTTTGGGTAATGTTACTGATCTCGAAGGTCGTCCAGGACGATATGAGACCTCCAATATAGTAAGCTCTATCAAGATCGTAGGTGTATGCGCCACAAGCAAGCTGTTGGAAATTTGGAGGCATCGACTTCGTGGCGTGTTTTCCCACCACTTTCGCCCAGTATCTAGGCGCGTTGGAGTTCTCCAAAGGAAGTGCCCAGATCTCTGGCAAACGATCATCATAGAATGAATTGGGTTGAGTTTCTTTGACGTGACCATCAGCGGAAAGCTGTCCCCCAAAAGAATTTACTGTCCCGTGCTCGTCGACAAACAATGCCTGACACAATAGCCCCGGGGCTTCGGATGATATTGACGAGGCGTTGAGGGTTCGGTTGTTCCAATCTTTGTTGAGAGGTATTATGAAAGTCGTATGTTCTGCCGTAGCTATGTAAGTGACGTGCCAGGATATTGCACGCAGGCTTGCTTACCGTAGATAAGGCGGAGATCGGCGTCGGATACCAACCCCCCATGAACGACAAACTCATTGGCTACTCGAGCGACTAAGTTAATTAGTCCATGCTGTATGACTGGAAATTGCTGGATAATACCGGAGTGATATGCACGTCGAATCTGTTGGCCTTGTGCACGTGTGAGGACAGGAAACGACAACAGGTGCAAAACAATAACTATGATGCTGCATAAGTGGTGGAAGCAATATAGAAAGGAAGACATCGATGAGCATGAAATTCGGCAATGATTGGAGTCTACCTCTTATATTCTGGAGCCTTACGAAGCCGTCTGCTCTGAAATCAGAGATATTCGTAAGTAGTTGGATGAACGCTATTATTGAAAAGAATACGATCACTGACAGCCTATGGTAGGAATTCGAAAGAAAGATTTCCGTGCAGGTTGTGTACCGTTGAGACTTTCCAACCGCTCCAACACCCACCTTTCTAATTTTGTGACCTTAGGCGCTCGTGTACCCAAAACCACGTTTCATATAGGCGCGGGAGCTATGGGGTAGAGCGACATGCCTGCCAAAATGATGAGTGTACATTGCACCTAGGTTTTGTCAGCCTCGAACGGCGTTGCCTAAGAGGCGGCGTTTTGCGCAAGGGATGATAAGCTCGACATCATAACAGTATTGGCTTCCAGCGCAGGACGCTCACAATCATTGATCGCTCAACGAGACGGAATTGATTTTGACGGGATATCGCTTGTAGACGCCACTCAAAGCCACCTACATGTTGTGTCACAATGCCTGCATAACACGCTGACACAAAGGTGCCTTGTAAGCTCGATGCAACGCAAGGGCTTGTAAACGTATCGCAAACTCATGATATCTACTCAATTTAATAATAGGGAAGGTTTTCTTATCACGGTAAACTGATACTGACATTGTCACTATCATCTGTACCCGGCAGCCCAGTACGTGCTGAGATTGTTCATTCCCTCAGCCGCCGACCGGTCAGTCATGGACAAGGGTACGAAACCGCCAACCTTCGAGGCTGGTGCTGTGTGACTCTTCTTGACCTATGATAAGTCGAGACCTATGTAGGCGCACCGATGAGCCTGGATCGCACGAAACATATCGACGCCCACGCGAACGGTTCGCGCCTTGATAGGTGTAAAGTCGCGCGACTCATCATGACCGGTGAACTTTATCACGAAGGACTAGCCCAGCTCAATACTCAGGCCGATCCTCCATTCAACACAATATGAGTGCTCCTGCGAGCGTGTGGAAATTCCTCAAACACTTCATACACCTGTCAGGTCGATCGAACAACATGGCAAGTGGCAGCAGTAACGGGGACAGTCAAGTGATTGATCGCGTCAACACTGACTTCCTGAAGCCTATCAATACAACTATGCAGAAACCCGAGATTGAAGATCTTCCAGGAGAGGTTGCGATATTTGGGCGCTTTCTCGAAGACTTTCAGCACATCATAGACTCCAGGAGAGTCCACCCACTCAACGAACCTGATGAAGTGAGGAAAAACATGGTATCGCATCTAAGCTGGTTTCTTCAATACCTCCGAGACGGTCAAGGGAACCCAGCTCCGTCCCTAGACCAATTCACCTCGTCAGCGACATATTTGTACGAATTTGTCAGGGGTTTTACCACCGCCAGTCCCGAGGAGATCGAAAGTTTGCGCCAGACATACCAAAGTCTGAAGAGAGACGATAAAGACGAGCCACAGCCTGTGTATACGCAGCGCAACGTCGTAAGCAGTGGTGCCACATCTCATCAATTTATCGGGAAACGCCAAACCAACAACACGGGCAATGGTCTTCAGATACTTGGCAACGTACGCAATCTGCACGACCGCGGTGCGCGAGATCAAATTTAAAGCGCCTAAGCCGAAGAAGATTTCGAAACGATGTAGCACAATCGATTGTGCCATTTCGTCGAAATCTAAAAACCGGGTACGTTCATCCTTTCGAAAGCTTGAGGCTTCTTCATCGATGAGAATCACGTCTGACGTGTGACAGCTGCCTTTGATTCGATACGTGTCTACCTCCGATTCACCCAGTCCAGATTCATCTGAAATTGATCGGTCCTGTAAAGTTGCCGGATAGTTGTATACCAGATCCTGTGTTGTTGTACTGTGTACCATCATAAACCGTGTACCTAGTTGCTCCCCTTCTAAAAGGACCCATGGAGCTTTCACGAAAATGCTCACTATCATCCTCTTTGCTTTCTCTGATTGCTCTGTGCAACCTCTTGAACGCCTGATTACTCCCTTCTCCATAGATAAGTGGCATATGTACACCGAAAATCCCTAAGAGCGAATATGCTTCATCTTCGTCACGCTTAGCTTTGCGATTACGAGCCCAGTCCATGCGTTCTTTGACACTGCAGTCGGAGATGGGTCGTTCATTCCTAAGTACCTCCGGGGGAATTCGGGTTATTTTAACGATCTCTTTAACAAGGTCCTTTTTTTTCCCTAATGATTTGCGGTCCGCAGAGAAGAATTCGAGGCATTTCGGCGCAAGCAGCTCCTGAAGTGTCCACCTTCGAGTAAACCATCTGCTATTCTTAAATGCTCGTTTCCATTGGTCCTGGTTATCCGCGCAATTATCAATGCTGCTGTGGTTCTCTAATCGAACGTCTGATAGATACACATAGCACTTGCTTGCTCTTTTGTACCATTGAAACATTGAATTGATCGCTTCCGAAAGCTCAGCGCTGCTATGCTTGTTGATGCAGCATGTGTCGATCCAAAAGTATTGCAGTCCATCTTTCATGGCTTGACTTCCGCAGAAGGTAAGCTTATCATAACCTTTCTTGCCTCTAGCCGTGTTGTTTTGTAGATCCTGGTACGTAGCCTCGTCGTCGCTGTGCCCCCAGGTATGTGAGAGGATGGCATATTCTGGGACTTCATCGTCAAAGCGCTCGACGAGGCTGAAGGTCTCTGCGTCGCGCACCTGCAAGAGATGCATAGAGGCAGCCTGACGTGTGAAAGGCTTTACGGGTGGATGTAGCGAAAAGTTGACATTTGCACAAGTGCTGGTGAGAGAAAGATGTGAGCGTGAGGGGTATGAAAATCGTCCATGTTGCAGTTGATCACCAAGAGGCGTGGCTAGCGTCATGCTACATGCCACATGCGTCTCTGCCGGTGAGCCTGGTGTGGGACAGGTGCCACTTGCACCACCTCCATCGCTCCGAGCTCTTCTAACGAGAAGGGTGGTGTCACCTTAGGCTGTTGTGGCCTAAGATTCGTATCGCGACGGCCATTGGACTTGTGCACAGGCGTGCGCGAGCTCGTCTAAGCTTGACCCCTCCGCAGCAAGTTATCATGACCTGAGAGGTAGCTAATAACGGTTTGCTCTCTAGACCGCCTAAGCAGAGCTTCCAACATAACTCCGTCGTGTTGTCGAGCCAAGCATACCGGATTTATGTGAACCTGCCTTGTTGCTATTATCAAGAACTGCAAACGATGGTGATGTGAAGCCATATCTCAGCCTATCCGACAGGCTGAGCGGTGGTGGCGACTTTGGCCCCCAATAAGAAGCGACTCCCAACATCTCAGTACATGTTGATTCGAGGTATAATTCGCACAAGTGGGGCCCAACCTTGGAAGTCTCGATGGTATTGGATGTAAATGACAAGGTTCAGTAAGTGTACATGAACATGATGTTGGCGCAGCAGAAGCATAACAAAGCGATCAGGCTGTGATTCGGATTTCAACACCTTCTACTCATCTGTTCATCGCAACTTCTGGACTATCTTCCTACAACTGCAGGTTCGAACCATCCTTCTCGAGATCAGCGTCCACCTATCGTGATTCTGAAGATACTGCATCGATGGCATCTCCCTCGACAACGTGGTCTATCACACTGCTGACAGAATTGCCGAACCCCATTCCCACAACTGGGTACTATCTTGTACCTCTATACTCCACAGAAACCCCATTTACCAGCCTTACAGTACAATTTCCACTAAGCTTGGGCCTGTTAGCTGGGAAGGATGCTACTATATTACCGAATGGAATTCCAACGACGGTAGATAATGTTCTTGTATTAGGTTTCACGGATTTGCCTCCGATGATTTCGTTTGCCAGCCTAGCGCCTCAAAAAACGGGACACCGAACAATCCATCAAGTTCGCTCAATACCTCAGTAGTGCCGCGACCCTTGACATCAGAAACCAGCAGAACCTCCTCGACTGCGCCACCTAGTGATCCGGCGCCCAACACTTCCAGCACAGGTATTGGGAGCGGTGCAATCGCTGGCATAGCAATCGGCGGTGTTCTCATCCTCGCTCTGATAATAGGTGGCTGGTACTTCTGGCGCCGCAAGAAGCGGAGTGCGCAACAACCTATATCCACTCTTACCGACGATGAGCTAGCAAGAAGAGAAGGTGATGGTGACAAGATCGTCCTTGGACCGCACCAGGCTGCTCCAACAACCGGCGCATATCAAACACAATACCAAGAGATGTCTGGCAACGGCCTCGCTCAAGAACTCGATCGCTCACACTCGTACAAACACGCGATAGGCGGAGCGCATGAGCTCAAGGCTGACGACCGACCGGGAGAACTACCATTCGCTGGGATAGAGGAACACGGGTCAACGAATGACCTTGGCGTGGCTGACGGAGGAGGATCCGAAGTGACCCAAGTGCCGCAAACGACTCATACTGCCACGCAGGCACCGCAGGTTTCTCCACACGTGGAAGCTCAGAGACGCAGGAAAGTAGAATGGTTAGAGGCAGAAGAGATGAGAATGAGACAGCGACGGGAAGCGCTTTTACAACAGAGTGGTGGAAAGACTGAACAGTAGCCCAGCAAAGCAAATGAAGCTGGAATCATGATATATTCCTGTTAGTATGTCATGGGCTATTGAGCTCGCGTCTCAAGGGATGCGGTTGTAGCTAACATGTCCTGCGATGGCGATGGTAGCTGCTGAAGAAGCATTGGAACCGTTTCAGCGGACCGCTTACGGCTCTCAGCATCTGTCAAACAACCCACAAAGATCATCTCGCTCTTCGCTCTGTTATGAAGCCTGTCCTGCCTCTGCCGCCTTACGCATACGCTTCTCATATTTCTTGTGTCGTCTCTTTGTCCTCTTCGCGTACTTTTCTAGAGTCGCTACCCGATTCTTTGCCCAGTTGGGTCCAGCACCAGGAGGCGGGGCTACGAGAAAGCATGACAATCAGTATATGAATCATGTAAGAAAGGCGCGTGAGCGCGAAAGATAGCGCACAGCCATAAGTGGATGCCTTACTCAGTCTTCCGCTTAGCAAAGCTTCACGCTCATTTTCCCGGCATTCATGTTTGTGCTCAAACCGCATATGACGGTGCTCAGACGACTCAGAACGACAGCTATTGGTACGTTTTGGGTTCCGTGGCCTATCGTCGTGCGGGTTCTGAGAAGGCATCTTGGTGGAGTGGGAGAAGTCGCCCTTGTCGGGGTACCAGTGTAGGTCGTTGTCTTTGTTGTATCTTGAGCCTGGGACGCGTTTGAAGTCTCTCGCACGGTCCTTCCAATCACGGCTGTCGTCTCTTGGGCTGTCCCTTCGATCGCCGTCTTCATCTCTTGGACGGTACCATCGATCACCGTCACCGTTTCTGGGGCTATTCCTTCCACCACGGCTGTCAGCACTTGAACTACTTCTTCGATAACATCGGCTGTCCCTTGCTAGTGGACTGTCCCTCCGATGGTCCCTCGTGCGGTACCTTAGATTGCACCTGCGGTCTCTTGACCTATCCCCTGAACGGTCACGCTCGTCATCACATCCGGAGAAGTTCCGTCTACGGTCATTGGGGTAGCCGTCCCGGACTCCTCGATCGTCACCCCAACGATTTCGACGAGGGGCCTCTGGCGAACGGCTTCGTTCACGTTTGATGTCCTCGCCCCAGCGATTGCGTCGAGGTTCCGCTGGCATGTCGTTCAAGTTGCTCATGGCACGATCGTCGGTGGTATCCTGGAAACCCGACATTGCGAGGTGGAAGGAGAGAGTGAGAATGAGAAGAGCGTGGTACAAAACCGGTGAAGTTAGATGAAGAAAGCGCAGTGGAAAGACGGGGAAAACGAGGAAAAACGAACAACGAAAAAGCAAGATTGAACTGGAGGTGAAGGAAGATCAAATTATTGTTTAGTACGCGATAGGAAGTGACTCGTAGCTGCGAAGTCCAAATCTCCGCCGTGAGAAGGCACGATGAGCAACAGCAGTGCGCGGAAGATTCCAAGGGTGACGATTTATCTGACATGAGCGCTGCCCAAACAACGCGGAGCCGCGTTGGGCATATACCGGGCGTTGCAATAACACCAACGCGCAATTGACTTTATGTGTAGATAAAATCACAATTCATTCACAATCACGAGAAAGCTGTATGCAGGGCCGCCGAGCCATCTCGGCCCTGGGCAAGGGTACGGATACAGCGCATGACGTCATCACACTAGCATGCATCTGGAGTGCTATGGCTCGGGGTGACAAAGCAGCAAAACACTGTTGCCTTCGGTCGCCATTTACTTCCACAACCAACCGCGAGGCGGCTTTGCAAGTTCTGCATATTCATTTTGAAATACAATGCATTTAATAACACCAGGCTGCACTATTGCAGCAAATGTAACTACACTATCGAAATCTGCGCCTCAAATCACAGATTGAAGGATACAGAGGCGCTCTGGACATCCGGAGAACCAACATAAGACACCTGGTAAAATATCAAAACTGCGATGGATACAGTTTACATGGTGCGACCTTCCTCAGGCGAAGGCTTGGGCTGCTTCGCGACCACCGACATCCAACCCGGCACTCTTATCCTTAGCGAAACACCCCTATTCAGCGTCGCAGAGCCGCGAACAAACTCGGCAGTCACAACAGCATTCGCCAGTCTCGACAGCGCCCAACAACTCCAATATCTTACCCTCTACGCCCAGAATAGCCACGCCAAGCATGATGACGCCGCCAGGGTAATCGACATATTCAATTCCAACGCCTGGCAAACCGGCTCCCGCACATCCATCTGCCCTCTTGGCGCACGCTTCAACCACTCCTGCGTCCCCAATGCAAGTTTTGCGTGGAACGCACGCCTGGGCCAAATCACCATCTACGCCATCGTCTCCATACCAGCCGATACACAGATCAAGCTAAGTTACGAGCGCCCCTACCAAACCACCAGTTCGCGACGTGCCAAACTATCCGCTTACGGCTTCACTTGTGCCTGTCCCGCATGCAGTGACGTTTCCTGCTGTAGCGACGTCCGTCGTTCACGCATGCTGTTGCTGGACGCGCGTATCCGGACAGGACGGCGCCAGCTGTGGAGATCACCCGTGCCGAAGGCCGCGTTGGAACTGATCCGGCTGCTCAAAGAGGAAGGGTTGGTGGGGGAGGCGCTGGGCCTGGCGTATCATGATGCTGCTTTGGGTTGGAAGAGACATGGGCGGTTGGACTTGGCTGTCGGTTGCGCGAGGAAGGAGTTGGAGGTTGCGGTCATGTGTTTTGGCGTTGAGAGTATGGCGGTGGGAGGGGGGATGGGGTTTTTTGGGGGGTTGAAGGGCGAGGCCGGGAAGATTGAGAAAGCGCGCTGTACGGCTAATACGTTGGAAGTGCTCGAGGAAGATACTGGGTAAGTGATTCTGATTTTTTCTATAGTATTGAAGCTTGCTTTGAGTATGCCGAGTCTTCCATACTGCATTCTGCCTCCTAGGGTTTGCGGGCCGATCGCGGCGTGTGTACAAGGTGCAGCATGTGCAAACAAGGTCACCAATGTCTCAACACTTCACACGTGCGTTTTTAAACAAATACAAGAACCCCCTCCATCGCTTCTCACCACTTTCCAAAGAGGGACTTTACATTTCCCCAAAGTACCAGAACACAACAATTGCCATATATCATCCAATCTTTTTCCGCAGGTGCACTTTCTTCACCTCAACACCTGAATATCGATGCACAATATTTTAAACTTTTCACACGCCATTTAGCTGCCTTGTCTTACAAAAAAAAACAAGCCTCTAAGACCACATCCTTGTATCGACCTACCTCATCGTTGTTCTGCGACGTCCCATTACGCCCACCGCTACCGAGCCATAAATCCACGAAAAGGAAAAGAAATGCCACACATGTCCGAATGGCTATGCCCGCATTGTTCGAGTATCAACCGCGGCGAAGGTGCTAACGGGGAGGAGTGCGTTAAATGCGGCAAGTAAAATAAATGCTACTAGGAGAGAAAAAAAGATGAAGCATATGTTACCTTTTATAAACATCATGGTATCATGTTCAATAGAGTCTGAATAAGGGGCGGTAGTTACGAGCGGCTCTTTGTTGACGATGCAATAGTCTTTCTCGGTATCCATAATCTGAAGGTTGGTGTACGAAGTCAATTGATGTTTCAAGCGCAGTTCACCAGAACATTTAGTGATGACGAAAGTGGGCTGCAAAGTCAAATGATAGGGAGAAAGGCCTCGCGAGGTCGGGCGCAAAGATAAGATCGCATCGGATCGCTATCGATACTGAGGTAGCAATGGCTGTTGCAACCAGTAATATGTAGGCTCTCCCGCCTGAGACTGCCGGATATCTTTCTGCGAGCTGTTGATGTTCATGTTTCCCGATCAGGCCATCTTTATCAGCCGTACTTACATTATCCCTGGGGTTGGTGGAGGGATGGTAGGGTTTACGCGCGGAGCTGTGACGGAATGACGTCAGCTGCCCGGTTCTTCCAAACTCGACGTGAGACAGCTTACTGTCAACCTCGGGAGGCTGAGGGCCGTCTTGATAATCTTGAAACTTCGCTCACCGTACAATAATAGGAGAAAGACGGCACTAAACGGAAGAAAAGTCTTCTCGAAATGCTTGTTGAGTAATGACACTCGACGTAATGGACACAGTGCGTACTTCCGCAGTTGAATGGCAAGACCTCGAGAGTGAGCAATATTGGGCTTCTTTGTGTCCGTATAAGAGTATTGGAGTATCTGTAGGGAGTTTTGTTGAGTCATTCGCCTCTATATCAAGAAAGAGCCGAGCACATTAGTTACAAGAGCTGCTAGCCGACTGCAGTCGCAAATTCGGCGCATCGACCGAGTTGCCTATTACCGCTATCGCAGAAATTGGCGGCAGAATCGATGGAGTTAGCGCTCATGTACACGGCATGTTCCCAGTATCAATGCGGACTTACCTCCGCATGAGTAGGGCCGAGGACAACAGGCGGACCTTTGGAACATGCGAACAGTAAGAACAGCAAGTCCCAAGGCAACGGATCCTCGACTCATCAACACCTCACTTCCCGAACAATGTCCCAACACATTGGATCACGGTCTTGGAAGATCACAATTCCATCGACTCGCAATCTTCGACATCCCTAGGTTCACTGATCGGCACTTTCCAAAAGCTTGATTAGCCGCCCCTTTGCTTATTCCGACAAGCTCGACCAAGCAATGCGGGGTAAATGCGCGCTAGTCCGTGTATCGCCCACCCTAGCCAGTTCCACGAGTCCCATGGCCATGGAACGGTAGGGTATGATAGGTGTCAAGCAACGTGGCGCAACTGACAGCTAGGAGAGTTGGAAAAGTACCGCGGCCATGGAGCAAAAGGTACCGCGAGTTTCCGCAGTGGTGGAGCAATAGCGAGCAAAAGGACGAATCCACTCGACTGTATCAGCGGCGGGAGACGTGGCCAGACCATGGTTCTTGGAGCTATCAAAGGATTGTAAGGGAACCATGTAAGCCATCGCGTTGACTAGAACAAATACCCCGCAAACTGAGTCGCGGTATCACGTCGACGAGGATGTAATTGCTGGGGTATAGTGAAGCGCGACTGGTTTGCATTCCTTGCATAAGAGTTCCACCGAGCCTCGAAATTGAAGAGTAATCAAGTTCTTTCGTTCCCTTCCGAAGATCAAATCGTAGGCAAGCATGAAAAACACGATGCGTGACCACAGTGACGGTTCCGGTAAGTGGCCCTACTCCATCAGACCTGTCCCCTTGGCATCCATACACACGGGCGAATACTAAACGAGCACCACAGACGTCTCAGACAACTCACCCACGACCTCGAAACCAGCCTTCAACCACATCGAGCAAATCCACACCAACGAGCAAGTCCCCGGCCATACCAATTACTACGAGAAAGATGGCCTCCGAACAGCCGGCGACGGCGTCGATCACGAGGCCGACGTCCCCATGAACTTCACTCGAATCATGGCACTAGTTGCCATGGCATTTCTCTGGACAGGCAGCCAGATCCCCGTCTATCTCTTTGGTGGTGTTCCTCCTTACATTTATGCAGACCTTGGTGGTGCCGATAGATGGATCTGGTTTGTTCTCGCCAATCTTCTCTCTCTCGCTGCAATCTGTCCGTTCGTTGGATCCATCTCAGATATCGTCGGCCGAAGATGGGTCGCCATGATCGGTGCTTCCTTCCTCATCCTAGGCATGATCATCTGTTCGACAGCGCATACCATGAACACCTTCATCGCCGGCATGGTGTTCTCTGGTGTCGGTGCAGGCATCAACGAACTAACGGCTCTAGCTGTCACATCAGAGCTTGCGCCTACGAGTCAGCGAGGCAAGTATGTCGCCATACTTGTCTTCACTATCATCCCGTTCTGTCCGTCAGTGTTGTGGGCTCAGCTCATCGCTTCGACATCGACGGGTGCATGGCGCTGGATTGGCCTGTGGTGTGGAGTGTGGGCTTTCATCGGTCTCGTCTTGACGGCAGTTTTCTACCACCCACCTCCACGGGTTAACAGCGTAGGTATGAGCCGCAAGGAGACTCTTGCACAAATCGACTACGTCGGCGGTTTTCTCTCTGTCGCTGGCATGATCTTGTTCATGATGGGAATGCAGTGGGGTGGTTACCAGTACAAGTGGTCCAGCGCACACGTCCTCGCACCGCTGATCTTAGGTGCCGCCTTCATCATTGCCTTTATCTTGTGGGAAGCATACGGCGCGAAACATCCCATGTTCCCAAAGAGACTTCGCCAGGAGCCTCGCATTCTAGGGTTGACACTCGTCATCACGTTTATTTCTGGAGCCAACTTCTTCTCAATTCTCATGTTTTGGCCAACCCAGGCCTTCAATGTGTATGGGCATGACCCTGTCGGTGTTGGCCTCCGAGGTCTCCCAGTTGGCTTTTCGATCCTGGCTGGTGCTTGTATCGTATTGTGGTTGCTTTCCATGCTTCGTGGTCACAACAAAGAGCTCCTGATTGCTTCGTCCATTTTGATGACTGCAGGCTGCGGTGCGCTTGCAGTTGGGCGTGTCGACAACTTGGCTACACTATGGGGATTGCTGGTCCTGGCTGGTCTTGGAATTGGTGGCATTGTCGTACCAGCATCCATCATCTGTAAGTCCGACATCGCACCAGTCAATGGCCTGTTCGCTGACTTGATTAGCTACTATCATTTGCCCAGACGACCTCATCGCAACCGTCGCAGCTCTCACTCTCGCCATTCGTGTTATTGGTGGCTCGATTGGATACTGTGTTTATTACAACGTCTTCATCTGTAAGTTTCCGTTAACTAGTATAAGTCGTAGCACGTCTGACGTCTATAGCCAAATTCGTCCCAGCCGCGACTCACTACATTGGTGGAGTGATGGTGACACAACTCAACATTACATCTCCAGAGATCATCGGAGAGGCAATCACTATCACTGGGGCCTCGCTGCTCCCAGCCCTCCAGGAGCTTCCGGGCATCAAGGGTGTGCCAGGTGCGTACGAGATGGTTGTTTATGCAGGTCAGCTCGCGTACGCAGAGGCGTACAAGTACGTGTACTATGTGAGCATCGCATTTGGAGGAGTCAGTATCATCGCGGCGTGCTTCTTGGGCGATATTTCCAAGTACATGGACGACCATGTCGCCGTGGTGATGCACTGAGTTGCTTCAGGAAGCTGGGACATGTCTGTCTATAGTATAGACAAAGTGTATATATAGCCGAGGTTCATAATGTTAACCGAAGCTTAACTTGACATTTGCGCATTCTCACAACTCGGCATGTTGCATGTCTCCTGGTGTTCGTACCGTTTTTTCTTCTACCTGCACCTAGACTCGGCTGCATTGCGGCGCTGTTCGGCTACAGCCGTAAGCGTGCCCAGCTCAGCGTGCGTCATAGCTGTCAACCAACTCTTGCGATACGGCAACGCTCTTTCCTTACTCATTTTCTTGAATCCCTTGCTCGATGTAGATTGGCAAAGGTAGATCAGCACCGAAGTCGCCAGTCAGTAGTGAAAACCAAAGGCTACTCACCCTCGATTATGTTGCGGGCACTTTCACACGAGCCAAACGACGTCGAATGGAATGCAGCAAATCATGAACAAACACCCGATGCTCATGCTCAAGCTCAGGCCCCTCTGGAACTGGAGACATCGAACAACAAACGAAAGCGGCAAAGCCACTGTTTCTGCGCGCCGCAAATGTTCGGCGGTGGCATATACCTTCCCGATCCATCGACTTACGACCCCATTGAGATTTTGCTCAACACCTATGACCGAAGTGAGAGGGACGAGCTCGTCAAGATATGGCGAGACAACAAACTGAGCGAATTGAACTTTGTTGGCGTCGTGGTATGTACTACGGATATTGTCCGTATTACAGCGTTAACCACAGTCTAGTCCGCTCTCCTTGCCGGCGTTCTCACGTCAACAGGCAGCTGGCCTAATATCCTAACGACTGGCCAGCCTTCTCCTTGGTACGTCCGCACAGCATGGTACTGTGGTATTGTCATCTCTCTGCTTTCTATCATCAGTGCCGCAGACCAAACAGTACGTCTACACCGGCTATCATCTCACCGCGATGGACTGGCCAATATCCATAAGCTCCTTAGCAAGGGTAGTAGGAGGAAAAAGACAGGGCGCCGTGCACCTAGCTACTTCCAAATTATGACCTGGCAGATGCCAGTCATGTTTCTCATCACCGGGACGATTTGCATGGTTATGGGTATGTTCTTGCTGGTATGGAGTGCAACATCGCACTTGGGAGACCTTACGAAATGGGATGACCAAAACAAGGTATGGTTCCGATGGATGAGGCTCTTCGGAGATTCGACGCTTACTCAACGATAGGTTGCTGTTGTGTTCACGGTCATCGCGAGTCTTACGATCATCATGTTTTTTGCTGGGCAGATTTCTCTATACTCGCCGATCAGGGAGTAGGAAGTGCGAAGATCTTCTGGAGACGTGGTATAGTTGTGTGCGACTTATCGTGGTCGCATTCTTCATCCGGATCTGCAGCCAGGCGGTCTGTATCGCGAGGAGTCAGAGGACGTGAGATATGCTGTATAATTCGATACATCTCAGATGATGACTGCGTTGGCGATGATGATGTAGGACGGCGATGCAGAATATATTGAGAAATGGACGGTCGATGGCGCTGACTGTAATGGAAGGTGCCAAGCCATTTTCGCCACTAGTCTTCTTTTGTGCAAGTGTGACTCTGTCAACCTTTGAGATTTGCCCTTCATACTCGTACGTCCGTCGCGTCATTTCATCACGCGTCGGGTTCGTGTCCTGTCTGATCTACGCTGCTATCGATGATTGGATGCTGCCTGTATCGTTAGGCTGCAATGGCATCTAGCACGTCTTCCCTGCTGGAAGGAGTTGGCACGGCGCGTCGCTGCCTAGCCTCACCCCTCTTTTAGATCAACGCGCCATCAGCTTCGCAGCTTCCCACTCATCATGGCACAGGCTGCTACTGCGTATCCAGGTAACATGCGGAAGGTGTTCTACTGATGATGCCAATATATAACGTACGGCTGTTTCGTCTTTGCTGTTTCCTTGCTCAATTCACTTAACAAACCAACTTCACCGCAAGAAGTACGCTTTCTACCATTCCACAAGTCTCTCTCTCAGCTATGGCTACACAAGACCAGCCGTTGACATTGATGGAGCTCCCTTCGGTCCCAGTCAGCCATGACGACTGGATTGCACATGCCGCTGCCCATCCAAAGGCACCGATGTGTGACCTCGTCGAACCATATAAGGCATACGATTCCAAGCTACGTCAGATATTCGCCCAGCAACCCGATCATACTGCTATTGGGACGCCCAGTGTTGTTCCAGTATTTGCAGGTCGCGAGTATGAGCTCAAGATACGCGCTCGCAACCCTGCCGATGAGCCCGAGGCCGAACGTCAACGCTACCTTATGCCTCTTGACAAGGCAGATCGCAAGCCGTCTGGCTCTCCAGCCGTCGTGCAATCGCTTGATGAGTTCAGAACCAACTTTCAGCTATTTTCAGAATCATCTCTTGTGGACATGGACTGGTCCAATGTGGTGGTCGCGGGTAGCGCCGTTGTAACTTCGTTGCTACCTGTACCCGAGAAATACAATAGCTCGAAGCGCGCTCTGCGCGAGTACTATCATCAACAACTAGCGCCAGCCTCCGACGTCGACCTCTTTCTCTACGGCCTCACCGAAGAGCAGGCTATCGAGAAGATCAAGCAGATTGAACAACGCATCAAGGATTCTATCTTGACTGAGACTACTACCGTCCGAACGAAGAACGCCATCACTATCGCGTCACAGTATCCGACTAGACACGTTCAGATCGTCCTGCGTATTTACAGATCCATCTCCGAGATCCTTACAGGCTTTGATGTGGATTGCTCCTGTGCCGCATATGATGGCAAGCAAGTCTACGCTAGTCCCCGCGCGCTCGCTGCATACATGACCCAGATCAACACCATCGACTTGACGCGTCGCTCACCTTCGTACGAGAACCGCCTATCCAAGTATGCACGCCGGGGATTCGAAGTATACTGGCCGCTCCTTGATCGTTCGCGCATCGACCCTACGCTGTTTGAGCGCTCGTTTGGTCGTACTCTTGGACTGGCGAGGTTACTAGTCCTTGAGAAATTGCCGAAAAGCACCGACCGTGACGCCTATGTTGACCAGCGCCGTGCAGAACGTGGTAGACCAGCCATCAACCGGTGGGCAAGACAGAAGTTGAGGGGCGATATCAAGCAACAGCACGATGAAGATGTTGCTGAATGGGTTGAAACTGACGAGATTAGCGACTACCACACCTTCACCGTTCCATACGGACCAAAGTTCCACGCTCGGAAGATTGAGAGGCTGTTGTACGCGAAGGACTTGCTACTCAATGCTGAGTGGAATCGACCCAAGGAGCGGGAGACTACTCTGCACCGACACCCTGCTTTCTTTGGTAATGCAACCGACGTGATAGAGGATTGCTGTGGCTATTGCCCTGAGCCTACCACACCCGAGGATCAAGAGATCGCAGAAGAAGAAGGCAAGATCTACGTGTCGGGCACTTTGTCTTTCATCAAGGACAACCCTGGACGGCAAGCAATCGGCTCTTTCCACCCACTCACTGATGATGACTGGACCGAGATGGCTTACGTTGGGAACACTGCACGACTATGCCAGGCTATCGTTGAAGGAGACGTTGAACATGTGCAGGACTGGCTAAGCCAAGAGGACGCAGATCCCAATCGACGAGACTATACCGGGCGTACTCCACTCCAACTAGCAGTCGCAACCTCAACTCCACAGGTCGTCCAAGCACTTATCGATGCAGGAGCTCGCATTGTCGCTCGCCTCTTTGACGGCAAGACCGCCCTCCACCTTGCCGCTATGCGCGGTGAAGTCGAGATGGTCAGAGCTCTGCTTTTCAGGAGTGAGGCTAACGAAGCGCTGGAAGCGGAGAAAGAAGCTATCAAGAAGCGCAACCAGGCCCAGCCGGCAATCCCTAGTGATGAAAATGTCGACGACTCCGATCAGCAGATGAGCGAAGACGACGGCCAAGACGAAGACATCGACATGCTTGACGAAGACGATGAGTCTGACAACGCCGATGCCACTACTGAGGGCTCTGTGATCAAGATTGATCGTAAGGAGTCGCAAAATCATGACGACCTCCCAGACGATGCGAACGATGACGAACCTGATGTATACGACGTCGATGTAGTCGCCTGGGACGCACCAGTATCTGCGCTTCATCTAGCTATTGCAAATGGCCACACAGAAGTTGTGAAGACTCTTGTCCAGGAGTTTGGGGCTGATGTATTGCTGCCAATCAAGCTAGTGCACGACCACAACAAGTCTCCACGTGCGGCAATCCTGCCGTTGGTTCTCGCATTACAGCTTTCGCCCGGTAAAGCCGAGGAAATGACCGAGTTGCTCATTAGTTTGGGTGCATCACCAGCTCAAGGTGACCTCAACCATGTTACGGCATTGCACTACTTTGCTGCGCATGGCGTTAGTCTGCTCAAAACCATGATATTGGCGAACCGGCCTGCGTCACAACAAGCTACCAACCACCTCGTAATGGACGGCCATCAGTACAATCCACAGGCGAGTAGTGCTCTGAAAATAGCCATCGAACACGGTGATGCCGCTGGTGTCGAAGCCCTGCTGGAACTCGGGGCGAAGCCTGAGATTGATTTCGCTACCTACATTGCTTCTGCGAAGAGCAAATGGGGCCGCATGGGCGACGATACGGAACGCAACCAAAACCATTTCAGAGAAAACGTCGAGCAGCCCGTACTTGCTGCAGTCCGTTCCGAGGTAACATCGATCGTACTCAAGCTTTTGGATGCTGGAGCAGACATAAACAGCCTCACCCCCAAAGCTTGGAGCGCTTTGAATAAGAACAACAAGTACCACGACAACGATACGGGCACTCTTTTGGATATTGTTCGTACTACCATGAGGAAGCTGCGCACCTTCATCGAGCTAGGGAAAGTCGATGGTCAGGGCGGATGGCTGTACTCTGATGGCTGGGTTGACCAATTCCGTTGCTACTACGGAGGTAGAAATCGATTTGCACCAATACCTCTAAAGGAAGACGCCGAATATCTCCAAGAGTTGGAACCTGGCACTTACGATCACTGGATAGTCAGAAATCAAATCGAAACTGCAAAGCAGACTTATGAAAAAGACCTGAAAGCTCATGAGGAGTGGAAAAAATCCGAACAAGAACCTCCAGGGACGGATGAGAAGAAAGTAGCTGTTCAATTGGTACTGAATGATTTCCAGGCTTTAGAAACCGAACTATTGAAACGAAACGCGAAGACCTTCAAAGAACTCCACCCGGATATCGAGCTTGACGTACCTCGACCAAACCAGTACGACTTTGGGGGAAGTCGCAACGAAGATCCACCAAAGCCATGGAGTCCGTTTCTGACCTTCAGGCTTTCAGACTTGACTAACGAGCGACGGGACGCTTACCTCAGGCTTTTCCAGGCTTGCTGGAATGCCGATCTTCTTACAATCAAGGAACTCACTCTTACAGTCTGGAGTGAGAACCAGAGTCCTTTGAAAGTCGCTGTCACGGACTCGCAGAACTTCTCGCCATTCTCAATTGCGATTCTGCGAAAACATTATGGAATTGCTCGAGCCATTCTCGAAATCGCGCATGCGCAATATGCGCCTGAAGAGAAGCCAATGGTCAAGCACAGCCTACAGCCAAGAGACGAAGACGAGGATAGCTGTGATGACGACGACAACGATTTCCAGATATATGCTGAGATAGTGGACGATCGCTTCACTATCGAGAATATCGGAGAGGTGCAGAACCAGGTCAAAAGCAACGTGCGGCCAGTACAACTGTTGTCGTGGCATTACCCCGTGTCTGGTTTCCTCAGCCACGATGATACGTCGACATCTACACGGCTTACTCCTTCAGGACTCTCCAACAAAAGACAGCATCTGGGCAGATCTCAGGCAAGTGGTCGTACGTATGACGCGTCGCGAACGGGTCAGCAAGAGATTTCCGCAGTCGAGCAGCCTGAAAATCTTTTCCAATTCGCAATCTACCTAGACGATGCCAATTTACTGCAATTCTTGATTGCTAGGGCTGAGGAGTACACGCAACACAGTATCGAAGCTGATGAGGAAAACGATCCTAAATTCTTCCGTTTCAATGAAGCAGATTTCCTGTACGCGATCCGTCTCGGCCGTACCCGCGCACTAGAAATCATTGTCAAGAGCACTGGAGCAGGGATTCCCCTGGACGATCTTGTAAAAAAGAGTGGTATCGAGATTCCTGTGAAACCAAAGTACTATCAAGGCTTGTCGGTTCACGGGAAGAAGCGAGCGGATTGGGCGAATGAAGGAAGAGAGGTTCGGTCTGAAGCAGTTGGGGCGCAGCACCCGCCCTTGTTGTATGCTGCTTGGTACGGAAGCATGGAGAGTGTCGAGTGGTTCGTAAGCGATACAGCCTTGCGCTGTTACACAGAATTTGCAGATACGCATCGGGACGATATCCGCATCCAGAACTTGGCGAAGACTGAGCGCGGCTTGCAGTCGTCTATTGCTAAGTGGCTCGACCTACGCTCGCACCTGCTGCTTCACTCAGTGGTTCTTGGTAGGACAAATGCGGACTCTCTGGCTCTCCTCCGATATCTATGTAACACCCATCCTAAGGCCCTTGAGCACCGTTCTGCGAGCGGTATGACGCCTTTGCAGCTTGCTTTCGCCCTGCATCGTGTTGAGATGGTTAAGATTCTTCTGGAAGCTGGCGCTGACCAGACTACACGCGACAATACTAGGGCGAATATTGTCCACTCTATCTTCAACAACATTGACCGGCAGAACAAAGGCTTGGAAAAAGTCAAGGAATTGCTCGGTCTCATCGATCCTCGCCTCTTCTCTAGCTTGTTCTCCGAGCGCACGACGGACATGCCTGGTGCCGCTACACCTCTTGCGCGCTGGCTGCATTCCGCTTCTTCCGTTGGCAGCGTGACTGTGCCGTATAACGAAGAAGTTCTCAAGATCATACTCGAGTTCAGCAAGGGCGATGACTTGAGTGTCGTCAACGGCGAAGGTGATACGCCCATGCACACTGTAGTGCGACGCGGTGATGACGCACTCCTACGAATCATGCTCGAAAACCGTCCCGACCTTCTCTTCCGCGAAAATGCATCAGGGCGAACGCCATTCGAGATGGCCGAGGATACGTATCTTGCCAACGATGTGTTCAGCAACCCTCCGTCTCTACCGGGATCCAGCCACTCTCACTACCATCGGGGAGGGCGTCGTCGTGGTCACGAACGACCGAACATCAGCGCTCTCAAGCGCGATCCAAGGACCTTTGTAGAAGAACCCGAAGACATCCGCTCTGGTGCGGAGCAGGTGTTACAGGTCTGTAGGGAGTTTTCGAAGAAAAATCATGGACAGAAGAGGAAGCTTGTTAGTCTGGTCGAAGCTAATGAAGTCGCGAAGAGACTGGCGTCGCGGGAACGCAGTGTTCCTGTAGAGGATGATGGTTTTGTGACGAGCGAGGAAACTACCGGAGGCGACGAGGTCGACGCATGGTTTTCACAGGCGATCTTTGCAGGTCATTAACACACGACTGGTACCTGTCAGCCGGTTGCATGTCGTATAGGTCTGTGCAAACGGTTTTACTTGATACAGAAAATCCGGGGTAAAGCGCCGATGTTACTAGTTAGCGAGCCCCTTTTTCCGACACCGCGATAAGAACATTGTCCGGCCACCACAGGATCCGTAGGCCGAATGCGAAAACGGCATACGAATATACGGTGGTTAAAGCATATATATTTGAGCAGGTAGCGAATGTATCTCGCTTTTTCCATCGCCGAAGTTGTTCGTATCTTGGCGTCTTGAACATGAATTTCCTAGACCTATTTAAGAAGCAAACAAGCCCAGCAGACGATGCGCCAGATCCATATGCCGATGACATTGTCTATCCAGTTCATATCCTAGATGATACGAAAACTTTTCGTAGCATCCTGATCACATGGACTCTAGTTTTCAACGACGTCCTGAACGCAGACAAGCTCCGATCCTCGCTAGCCAACCTCTTAGAAACAGGAGATTGGCGAAAACTGGGAGGCCGATTACGACTCAAAGTAAGTAATTGCAACTCACTCTGCTTCCATTGTACTCGAGCAAAAAGATTGACGATTAGGGATTAGGACGATGGCAGACTAGAAATTCATGTCCCACCCACCTTCACTCCTTTGCGCCCTGCCTTCACTTACACCCACACTACTATCGAATCCTCCATCCAACAACACGAACTAGCCAAGAAACTCCCTATCAAGCCCACCGGAGCCATCTCAACATGCCCCGGGCCAACAGACTTCAACGACCTCGCGACTTCACCCTCTGCACCCATGACCATCGAGGACCTGCTTGCTGGAGACACACCACAGATATCAGTACATATCACATCCTTCACCGACGCTACGCTCGTAGGTTTATCATGGCCGCACACGCTCATGGATGTCATGGGCCAGGCAGCTTTTCTCTCAGCATGGTCGAGCGTATTAGCCGGTCGAGCGACCGAAGTACCGCCTGTGCTTGGTGCGCAGGAAGACGTATTACTAGCGTTGACCGACGACGCTACCAGCGCACCACAGGAAGAATACGTGCTAAAGTCCAAGCAGTTAAAGGGTCTCGCTTTTGTCAAGTTTGGAGCCAGGTTCGCGTGGGATATGTTGACGGGGGCGAAACCCTTGACGCAAACAATACATATACCCAAGAGCGTTGTGACGACGTTGAGAGCAAGAGCAGAGGCTGATCTGACTAACTTCCACATCAGAGCCACCACCACAGCAGAGCAAGGAGAGAACAAGATGCCTTTTATCAGCGACGGCGATATCCTCACTGCATTCACCTTACACTGTATCGCCTCCTCACTCCCCGCCCCGCGCCCCTTGACCGCCCTCCACGCCATGAACGCCCGATTCCGCCTCCCATCCCTAATCAACGCGAAAGGTGTACATGTCTCCAATATGCTAGTCCCCGGCTTCACTTTTCTAGACCCCGCCATGTCTACCGGCCCACTCGGTCCCATGGCCCTGCATAACAGACAAAAGCTTCTAGAACAGGCCACAGAAGCCCAAGTCCTGGCCAGTCTGCGTGAACAGAGAGTGAGTGGGGATCCGAGTACGCTGCTTTATAGCGATGCGGACGCGTTGTTGGTGCCGTTTACGGATTGGACAAAGGCCAAGTTTTTTACTTCTGCTATTGACTTTTCTCCCGCTGTGGTACGAGCGGGTGGTGGTGATGGTGATGGTGGTACGGAGGGAAGGTGCAATCCACCTGGCACACCAGTGTTTCATCATGCGTCGAGCAGGAGACCGAATCCTACGGCGAGGTTGCTGGTGCATATACTGGGGAGGGATTATGGTGGGGGTTATTGGCTTACTTTGACTATGAGTCCGGCGGCTTGGGAGAAGGTTGAGGAGGAGTTGAAGGAGTTGAGTTGAATTATTGTTCATGTCTGATGTTATTGGATATGGAGGGAGATAAAGGGATGTGGGCGCTTTGTATACTCTGCAAGTATCTCGATTGACGGCTTACACAGTTCCTCGAGGTTTGTGTCATCGAGTAGCAGAAACCACCATCGTTTTCTTTCGTTGTTGTCGCAAGATCAAGCTTCTATGACACAACACTTCCTTGAACGTCATGTGTCGTATTGCCAAGGCTAAAAGGGATTTTGCCCTTCGATCGCGGTTGATACCAAACACGAAGGCGTATGCTATTCGAGATTCCATACCGTTAGCATCACGTGTGGCAATGATTAACGTCCGCTGTTCGATATCCATTTATTTCCATGCGCTAGTTTTCCGAAGCATCTTCCGATTCGGAACAAGTACCCCACACGGGATCGGCCAGCATCCGCTGCCAGCCCCTCAATAATGACGCTCTTGTCCCAACTGCTGCAAGTACCGAGAGATGAGGGGTCGTCATACATTGGGTCCAATCCGACCCGGCTCTCGTACAGTAAGGCTTTGACGCGCAATCCAACTCCCTTCTCTTTGCAACAGAACACACGTACACCAATTCCTGTCGCAACAGGCTCACGATTCTTTGGTCTTGAACACGACGCGCATAATATCATTCAGACATGTCCGGCGAGAAGATGAAGGCGGTGCATTACGAAGGACCATTCAAGGTCTCGGTCAAGGACGTCGAGCTGCCCAAGATCCAGCACCCCGACGATGTGATTGTCAAGGTCACAACGGCAGCTATCTGCGGTTCAGACCTACACATGTACCAAGGGCGCACGGCAGCAGAAGCCGGTCTCGTGTTCGGTCATGAGAATATGGGTACCATTATCGAAGTCGGATCGGGTGTGACACTATTGGAGAAGGGTGATAGGATCGTGTTGCCATTTGTGAGTATACGTGCTCCGGGACGCGCATGTGTAAGAGTGCAAATGCTGATATGATGGTGCGAAGAACGTCGCCGACGGTAGGTGTCGCAACTGCGAAGAAGGCAAAACGGCTTTTTGTACTGGGTAAGTCGGGCTTTTCTGCAGCAGGGGGGGAACGAGGAAGTCCTAATGTGTGGACAGAGTGAACCCGGGCTTTGCCGGTGGAGCCTACGGCTACGTAGCCATGGGCCCGTATCAAGGCGGCCAAGCGCAATACCTCCGCGTCCCATTTGCCGACTTCAACGCATTGAAGTTACCCAAAGGCACCGAGCACGAAGCCGACTTTATACTACTCGCAGACATATTCCCAACAGGATGGCATGGACTTGTGCTCGCCGGATTCCAGTCCGGTGAAAGCGTGGCGGTGTTCGGCGCAGGTCCTGTCGGCCTGATGGCAGCGTATAGCGGGATCCTGCGAGGCGCCAGCAAGGTCTTTGTAGTCGACACAGTGCCTGAACGGCTGGCAGCTGCGGAAAAGATTGGATGCATTCCCGTTGACTTTAAGAAGAGCGATCCCGTTGAACAGATCATCAAGCTCAACGACGGTATGGTAGATCGCGCAGTCGACGCGGTCGGGTACCAGGCTGTGGACGCCTCAGGCAGCAAAGAGAAACCAAACATCGTGCTGGACCAGCTAATCATGGTGACGCGACCAACGGGTGGCTTGGGTATTCCAGGTCTGTATGTGCCAGCCGACCCAGGCGCGCCCGATGAACAGAGCAAGAAAGGCCAGATTCTCATCTCATTCGGCAAGCTGTTCGAAAAGGTATGCCTGTCCGTGTCTTGTGGCTGGATGCCCATTACTAACAACGTCAGGGATTGCACCTCGGTACTGGGCAGTGCAATGTGAAGGCGTACAATAGGTATTTGCGCGACATGATCGTATCGGGCAAGGCCAAGCCGAGTTTCGTTGTGTCGCACGAGATTAACATCGACGAGGCGCCGACGGCGTACGAGAAGTTTGATAAGAGGATCGAGGGGTATACGAAGGTGTTGATCCATCCGAATGGAGCGTTGAACTAGTAGGATGTATGAGTATTTATTCAATGCGCATGCTGTGTCTGTTCCCACCACATGCTAGTACCGCTGCATCGCAAAGGCTCCGTCGTCAACCAGATATGCCTTGATGATCTTGACCTCCTCGACAGGGCGATCTTCCTTGTCTGTCTTGACCAACCCTAGCTTCTTCACGATCTGCATCCCGCTCTTGACCCTTCCGAATATGGTATGCTTGCCGTCCAACCACGGAGTCGGCGCCAGCGTGATGAAGAACTGCGAGCCATTGGTATTAGGCCCGGAATTGGCCATGCTGAGAATGCCTGCACCCGTGTGCTTGAGCTGAGGGGTGATTTCGTCTTCGAACTTTTCGCCGTAGATGGATTCACCGCCTCGACCGGTGCCTGTGGGATCGCCTCCTTGTATCATGAAGTTTGGGATTATGCGGTGGAAGATCAAGCCGTTGAAGTAGTTGCGCTGCGCGAGCGTAGAGAAGTTTTTGCATGTCTTGGGCGCATGGTCGTGGTAGAGTTCGACGACGATGGTGCCCTGCTCTGGTTAACAGGATTGTCTGTAGCACGAGCAGGTAGACCTACGATAGTGGTATCAAGTGCGACGTCGGTGGCCATGGTGAATGTGGGGGAGAGAGTGTGAGGACTTTGATGGCAGCTCCCTGCCAGCTACGAATTCCATGTGAACTGGAGCACGGCCCGTCCCACCAGCCACACATGCCTGCGCCACCATCACTAGCGCTGAGTGATGAATCACAACCAACCGACTGTTCTGACCTCCGGGAATCATAACCCCAACAACAAGATATGGATCTCTCAACCTGGGCATTACCGCAGCTATCAAAGCTTCTGCCTCTTGATGACGAGTCGCTGAAGCAGATAATATCGTATACAGAATCGCTATCGCCAAAAGACTCGGCGGAACATCTGCAGAACCTTCTGGGAGACAGCCCACAAGCACTCGAGTTTATCACTTCGTTCAATAACCGGAGAAAACCGAAAGCTTCCGCTAGTTCTGCCCCGGTTCAGTCATCAAATGATATCTCAGAAGTGCCGCGGGCCAAGCCAAAGAAGAAGAAGCCCGCTTTGAACAAACTCCCGCCACCACGTCAGCCAGAGAACTATGGAAACGTGGCGGGTGCATATCTCAAGAAAGATGAAGAAGACTACATGGCCGGTAGCTCAAAGTCGAAAGCTGCCAAATTCAGCTTGGAACAACCTGATGGGTTACAGTTACCGACCTTCAATACCACTACGTCATCGGGGACGTCAACTCCCAAATCTCGTGCTGTCTCACCTGCTCCGCCAGCGTCGAAGAAACTTCCGGGCCAACTGATCTCTGACACGAAACCAAAAGCCAAGGCAAAGATCAATGTTACAGGCGGAACGCCTATGCACGGTGCTTCTACGGCACTCAATGATCTGGAATCTGCAATCAGGGCGCTCGAAATCCAAACGAACCCCACCCTTGCCTCACAAGATAACAGTAAGCGGAAATGCAACTGCATGGCTACCAGACATCCATTGCTCGAGGCCGCACCAAACTGCCTCAATTGCGGGAAAATCATATGCGTAAAAGAAGGCATCGGCCCATGCACATTCTGCAACTCCGCCCTCTTCAGCGCCCAAGACATCCAATCCATGGTACGCGTCCTCCGCGAAGAACGCGGAAAAGAGAAAATGGCCGCCAACAACGCTACTCAAAAGCGCGCAGACGTTTCCCTTGCTCCCCGCCCCTTCTCCACCCCTAGGTCCTCAAATACCCCTGTATCCTCAAACCCCGCCTCGGACGTCGAATCCGAGAACGAGAAACTAGTTCGAGCGAAACAGCACAGAGACAAACTTCTCGCTTTCCAAGCACAGAATGCCAAGCGAACGCAGGTCCACGACGAAGCTGCGGATTTTGAAACGACGACCGCCGGATTGAGCATGTGGGCTAGTCCTCAGGAACGCGCTATGCAGCTCAAGCGGCAACAGAAGGCGCTGCGAGAGCAGGATTGGAATGCGAGACCAGAGTACGAGAAGAGGAAGGTTGTAGCTAGTATTGATTTGAGCGGCAAGAAATTGGTTAGGCGGATGGCGGCGGCGGAACGGCCTGTCACGCCGGAGAGTGAGGAGGAGCCCGTTGAGGAGATGCAGCAGCGCCCGAGAGAAGGGAATGGGTTGAGTAGTGGTGGTGGGGCGTTTAGTAGGAATCCGTTACTTGGGGGGTTGATTAGGCCGACGTTCAAGGTTGAAGAGGGTATGGAGAGTAAAGGGAAGGAGACTGGGGGTGAGAGAAAGCAGACGTGGCGGAGGGTGCAGGATGATAACGATGATAACGAGCAGTGGATCTTGGATGGGGGTGTGTATGGGTCAAGAGCGGATAATGTCAGCTTGGAGATGGATGGGCTGAGGTGATTGTCTCTATTACCTCTGATAGCAACGACTGCATTCTTCATAGTAGGTCATGATACTGCTTGAGCTTTCTGTGTGCAAACGCTCTGAATTGCCCTGGTTCGTCCATTGCTCTTTTACCTATAGCCCGATACGGTGAGGCTACGTTTGCTAGCTTTACAACCTCACCTCTTTCTCTCACACCTGTTCTGATACCGCTTTCATAGCATAGATAATACCTCTCTGCTACCTCTCTCTTCCATCTCTCATCCATCTCTCATCCATCTCTTTCAATCCTTCTCTGACTTCCATCAACACTTTGTATTGACTATCCAACAACATATTAAAAGATAACCCCCTACAACCATGGCGCCACCCATTCTTTCACCTAGGCAACAGACAACCCGGACTAATCAGCCACCGCAAGATGGCGTATAGGCCGCTCGTGGTATGCTACACGAACCCGACCATGTAAGCCGCCCACACATGCCGCACGGGGTGACTACGTCAACTAAACCTAAGTAGATGCGAAACGTAAGGTCGCGCAATCGGGAAGCTACTAGCGCGCTGCAGTTTGAACTACTACAACAACTAGAACTTCTTGACAACGATCGAGCTACGATGAGAGCTACGCTGACTGCGGAGGTTGATGCACAGGCTGCCGAGATCAAGACGCTAGCTGCTAAGCTCAAAACGGCGGCCGCCGATAAGAAAACCTCGGTGGCAGATCTTTATAATGAGAAGATGAGGAACAAGAAAGTGGAAGAAGCACTGACCGCAGAGATCAAGACGCTGGCCGCCAAGCTCAAATCGTCGACTGCCAAGGAGGAACGCCTCGATGCTGATCTCTATGACAAGAAGATGAGCAACAAGAAGGTAGAACAAGACCTTAAGAAGTCATAACAAGCTCTTAAGGAAGAGAGGGTCTGGCGCTCTGCTAATAGCGATGCGATACAAAAGCTGAGAGAGATAAAGGCAACCTTGGAAAAATAAGGGAATAGAATGCAAAGGTCAAGAATAGCCATATTGGTTAGTACGGTGATTGTCTCGAACAAGATTCTAGGAGACTATGATGCTAGTCGACAAAAGTTCTGATGGAATGAATGAGTAGAGAAGGACATTAGTAATACTATAAGTATACTCCACCCAATGATTCCTCCACACCTGTTTACACAATCTCTTCAACTTAGCTCTCCTACTCCGCCTTCTTCCTGTCTTGATAACTTTCAAACCACTCAGGCTTGCAGAGAAGTACAAAAGCCCCCATGCTATAAATGGCACGAACTGCCCCGCTGTAGCTAGCAACGAGCTCTTCGGGATGCCTCCCTCCATCATGAGCGCTTGGCATACCACGACTGGCACGAACAACAATTCCCAGCCTAGTATATATCGATACACCATCTTGCGCGATTCGACTGCGGCTCTATTGTTGGACACATAGAGGCCGACTGCGCCACCGACGAAAATGTTGGCAGCACCATATTGCTGGGTCATTTGTACTGCTGTTGTCGTGATTTGAGTAGCAGCAGTACCCAACATTCGACCCAGGTAATGACGCGGAAAGAACAGGAAGTAAGAGCCGACAGCGACTGTAACAGCGGATTCGAAAGCAAAAGCGTTGCGAATGACGTTGCCTGAAGTGGAAGGATCTGCTCCTTGGAGCGAGGGTGTGTGAGGTGACATCTTTTGGCGATCAAGTTTTTGAGCTTTCGAGTTTGGGTAGAGATTCTAGAGGTGAATAGAAAGATGTGATGGTATGTCAAATCTAAGCTCACCAAGTCGCACTTATAAATTGGCCTGTTCGATTACTGTTACCTGATGCACGTACTGCTTGTATGCCAAGCCGCCACCATAACGTTATGCTCACGACGAAAAGGGTAAGGCGTCCCTAATTAGAGCGGGGCCAAAACTTGGACCCAGCCTCTCCTCCACCACCCTGCGTGATCATCCTTCCACACGCATCTGAATCTCGTGTATTCAGCTCCAGCATAACGGGAAACATAATGTCGTCTCAAGATGTCCCCGTTCCGCAGGGTCCGGATCGCAAGCGAGTTCTCAACGTGCTCGCCCAACGAAGATACCGTAAGATGTCCACGCATATTACTTCCTATCTGATCCTTACCCTGTCCAGGTCAACGTAAGCGAGAGCGACTGCGATCCTTGGAAACGATACTTCAAGTTAGCAGTACGAACGTAGCACATGGTCTAAATAGAGAGGGACAACTTCAGCACTCGACAAAGCCTCCAGCACCGGAACCATGCGGCACCGTCAAACTTGGCAACAATCCCCTTTACGATCCGTATCAGGATTTCGGAAATACAGCAGTCGATCCGTCTTATATGAGCCTTGCACAGTACGATATGACCTTCAACCCATCGGCAATCTCGTCGTCATATGTAGGCGATCAGTTCGGGATTAGCCCTGGTCTAACTTATGGTATGCCCTAGCTAGTTTGCAGTTATGCTTCCTGCTATAATTGTGTCTACTGACTTGGTTTATAGCGAGTGGTGCTCAGAGCGATACTTCAACACTTGATTCACAAGTATTAGCAGAACTCCAAGATCTCGAAACTTCCCAGTTCACCTTCCCATCAGATCATATCATCGACATCCCAGGCCTCAAAACTATGGAGATCTCCTTACGTATTGCACAGATGCTTGGTCTTGGAGATGAGCTTTTGGATCTCACCATAAAACGGGTTCTAGACGTGTCGAAACTTTCTGTCCCTTTAGAAGACCTGCCCGAGAACTTACGCCCAACGGAAGCACAGCTCCTATTGCCACACAATCCGATGATAGATGTTCTTCCTTGGCCATCTGTCAGGACAAAGCTTATCTGTCTTTTCAGCCAGCCTGATCAGCTCAGACCGCCCATCGCGAGAGGTTCCATGGCCATCATGCGGCTGTTGTATAGTATCGATGACGAGTCGGAGGGACTTCGTGTTGTATCTGATGCGAATGAACAGGGGATTGATGTAAAGGGTTGGGAAGTCGGACAAGCCGTCTTCAAAGACTGGTGGTGGATATTGGACCCTGAAATTGTCTCTAACTCAAACCGACTAAGGAACATGAGAGGAGCCCCCAGGTTGGAGATCTCGATACCGTAAAAAGGTACCTTCGCTATAGTCGAAGCCATAACGATCTTACGGCTCGGTCCGCTTTGCTCTGCGCAATAGATCGACAAGAGCATGGTGGACAAATGAAGAAAGGCTGCTACGACACAGGTTGCCTGCTTACAGCACTATGCCTGGGATTCTCGGAGCCAAGGATCGACCTGATTCGTTCACAGCGAGTGCGAAACCGAGACCGAAAGAGTAACTTCGCTTACCACAGTAGCATGTTGGACTCCGTATCCATCGTGTCACTCTTTCAAACCAGGCCGGGCCGACCGGATTGGACGGATGGTGCTGTTCGGATGCTATGCTGTACTCATCGCCAGTCAGATGAGAATCATAGAAAGCGCTCCACCGAAGCACATTCATTCACACGGTTTCTTTTCCCTCACTTTACTGTACTATGGCGAAAAAACGCGGCTTAGTAGCCACTCTCCTCGACCGTCTCATCGCGCGACAACTAGGACTACCTCGGGAAACATGCTCGTATACAACGACCCCTACGCGCATTCCGATATCCACATCGACCGAGACATTTGAGCTCGCAGCAGACATCTATCAACCTCTTCTCGCTCAAGATCAAAAGGCCGCAGGTACCATTCTAATCCGCTGTTCATACGGGCGCAGCATTCTTTTCGCGTTGCTCGGTGCGCGGCCCTACGCAGCACGAGGCTACAATTGCCTCTTTGTGAGCTGCCGAGGTACCTTCGGTTCAGGAAGCAAGTTCGTACCCTGGCAGAATGAAGAGGAAGATGGGAAAGCAGTAGTAGAATGGATGCGACAGCAAAGTTGGTATACCGGATCGTTTGCGACACTGGGAGGTTCCTACCTAGTTTATGTGCAGTGGGCTCTTTCGAAGGATCCACCAAGCGACATGGTAGCTGCAGTGATACATTGCGCATCTCATAACTTCGGCCAGCAGTTGTGGGGTACGGGATCGCTCTCGTTGGAATGGGTGGCTTGGGCGTATAATGTCTTGCATCAGGAAGAAACAGGGATTGGCAACATGAGAAGAAGATGGAGCACGATGAAAAGAATGCAGCCTATGATGCGTGGACCGGATCTTGCAAAAAGCATCAAGCACCATTTTGATGGTCAGGCGCCATGGATGGAGCATGTGGTTGACCATCCGTATATCGATACGAGGGATCCATTTTACGAGAAGATGAACTTTGAGCAGGCGCTCGAGCGGGCGAATATTCCGATTCTACTCGTAGGCGGGTGGTACGATGTTTTTGCGCCGCAGACTTTGCGCCAGTACGCGCGACTGAATGAGCGCGGTACGGATGTTGCGCTAATGACGGGCCCTTGGAACCATACTCAAGTCGGTATGCAGGCCGAAGTACACAAGCAGTCACACAACTGGACCGAACAGCATCTCGCAAAGCGGAGTGTTCAAGCGCAAGAGAGTCTGGTCCAATACTTCGTTACTGGAGCGAAGGAGTGGCGGCACGAAGCGGCTTGGCCACCACTGACAGTCGTACTGGAGTGGTATCTTGGATCTGGTCAGCGTTTGACAACTCCAAAAGCGACTGAGGAAGGATTGTCATCATTTGTCTTTGATCCGAAAGACCCCACGCCGACCGTAGGAGGTAATCTCCTGCTTCTAGGTGGAGGAAGTGCCGACGATACTGCGCTAGCAGCCCGCTCAGACGTTCTTACCTTCACGACCGAACCTCTCGAAAATGATGTTGAGGTTGCAGGCAAGATCATCGTGCAGTTGAACCACGCAAGCGACAATCTAGATGTAGATCTGCTTGTTCGTGTCAGCGAAGTTGATGCGAAAGGACGATCACATAACATAACGGAAACTTACAGACGACTAAGCGCGAAAAGTGAAGCTCGAACGCTGATTCTGCGTCTCAAAGATTGTGCGCATAGGTTTACAAAGGGTTGTCAGATCCGGTTATTGATTGCTGGGGCATCGTTTCCGCAATATGCAGTCAATGCCGCGCGTGGAGTTGGTAAGACTTTGGTGCAATGGAAGAATGCCACACATACTATACACTACGGAGGAAATAGCGCTTCGAAGATACTGCTTCCCGTAGTAGCATAGATCCTCGTTTGCCGGTGTCACTGATCACATAGATCACGCTATGCTCGGTGGCCTTCCAAATGCTGTGCTCAAGAAGATGTGACCAGGTAGTATAGTACACTCCAATGTGATACGCTGTGGTATGGTATTACCAATATTTGACCAGTCGCGTCCCTACTGCGGGGCACAAATTCCTCAACGTAATTGCTGGCTTTACTATTATAGTTTGCATATCTAGATCGAACAAGCAAGACCAGAAATTACCAATATTTGAGAATGATATTCGGGTGTTTCAGCAATACGACCTAACGCAGCAGAAGGCTACTGAGAGTGATAGAGGTACTGAGACTTCGACACGAGCCACAATCTACTACAACTAAACCAATATGACAGAACGTGGTGGCACATGATCTGAAGTAATCGGAACACGCCGTCCTCTTTCGGCCAGTGGAATTTTGCGAATGCGAACAACGCCAATACGAACATATGTGTTCGTTGTATGTGGGACCTTCTCGATACATATGCCCCAAGATGGCGTGATCATCATTACATCGCAAGATGTCCGATGAACAAAGTCGAAAAGGACTGTGCCTTCAGTCAATGTGCCGTTGCTTAGCTGAAACATGCAACCTGAACCAAAGCTATGTGCAAATTCTTCTTCAGCCTGTATGTCTGTGACTAGTGTCACTGGCCCTTTCACGCGGGCGAAACCCTCTTTCAATGCGCCAAAAGGGTCAATGCCGTGGTGAATGACGCTACATTCTTCAAGACAAGCACAGTACTCAAGTTCTGAGTCCCCTAACGACGGGTACCTGATTCCTCCTTTTATAGAAGCCCAAGACCATGATGGAGCGATCCATTCATGTCGTCTTCTCAGTGCTTGAGGAAGTCCTTCCACTCCTTCTCGCAAACCCAGTATCATCTCCGGGCTCCACAGAAGGCCATACAGGAAGTGCCGCATCCATAATCCGGCGCAATATGCATCACCAGTAATTTGACCAATTCTTTGGGCGATACCGGATATTGCTGGCAAAGTGTCGGCCTCATAAGTCATTCGGCGTGCGCTGTATGATTCAATAAAGCGGGCCCAATGAGTTTTCTCAAACCCACTACCAGGAAGAAGTGGTTTTAAGGAATCTGCTATTGATTCAATTCGCTTGGCAGAGTGATGTTCGGGTCCACCTTCGTCTCCCTCCTCAGCTACATGGATCTGATGGCACCTCCACGTCATTCGGTCTTCATTGAAGCTTAGGACACGGAAGGAGAGGAGACTCTCTTGAGCAGCCCATCCACGACGAGCCAAAGGCTGTGATTCCTGAACAATGTCAATATACTGTAGGCAACACAATGTGTGGCCAATGACTGACCTCACTTCTTGGACGTGAAATCTCCTGGAAGTATAGCACGAATGAGCCCTCATCATCTTCAATGCCTATACAAAACAGAGAGGGTACCGTGCGAAGGCCGAGAAATCCCTCTCCACACTGCTCTGCTCTCGAAGCAGCGACAGTCAAGTATGCATCAGAGTAGACATCTGCCATGCGTGCAGATTCGTATTCCCAGTCTGTCTTGGAGTCCTGCAGTATGCATAGACAATCAATCCAAATGTATTCGATGCCCAGCCATCGCACTATCAAGATAGCATCCTGTAATGTTCGTGGTAATGTGTTGAAACCTATAGCGATTTCATGTGCTTGCAAATTGATTGTAGTGGTTTTTGAGGGTAAGTCAGCACCCCAACAGTAACTCAAGGCAGCATAACGGCCTGCCTGACCATTGAGAGTCTGGAACAGCTTACAGTTCTTTCCCTGGAATAGCTCTCGCCAATTTTGATGCTTTCCAAGCATTTGGTTCTGATCAGGCAACGCGCTCAAGTCCAGGACTCTTGTCGGTAGTGGAACAAGTCTAGTTGACAAATGAGAACACTCAGAATGACTAGTGTTGCACTGTTCAAGCCACAATCTCATACGATGCAATGTATTCGGATGTAGCGTCGCTGGAAACACGACGTTCCGAATCGGGCTAGTCAACGCGCTATCTTCAACACCCAGTCAGGTTTGGTATCATCGTATCTTGGGTAATGGAACTTACCAAGGGTTTTCACAAGATTGAAGCTTAACGGAAGAGTCTTGGAACGGTGGGGATCACCCAATTCGATATTGTACGCCCAAGTATGGTGTTCATATGGATACAGGGCCACCCAGATCATGAGATTCCGCGAAATGGCCGTCTTAGCCTCTTCCCATGCCCATATCGATGATTTTCTGGAACCATCGCTGCACTCCACCCACCTATGTTGCTCAATTCTTGACAAGAATTTGGCGCAGAGTCGACAAGTCTTAGCACGAGAAACCAACTCTGAAATAGTGCATCGTCGCTCGTTCCAAGGAAGGTGGTCTGAGAACCTTGGTGATGTTCGCTCAACCAAATTGAATTTGAAGCCGTCTTCTTCTACAGCTGCTTCTCCACTGTTGATGAGTTTGCGAAATGGAATGGATCTGCAGACGTTACACAGAGACATGGCTACCGATGCAATGTGCGCATTGTATGGTGTCCTTTTCAATGTTCGACCTTCACAAGGTGGGGTCTCAGCCTTCTCACAACGTGACTTGCACGCTAGCCTCATCTGGCGCACAATACTGTTCAATGACAGACGTGACTTGTAAGATAATATTGAACGTGACATGCAAAGCGACAACCAGAACATCCCTTCTTTCTGCCTTGATTGATGCCAGTATTGTACGCAAACGCAGAATTTGACTAATGGACACTTTTGGTGATGTCTCAAAACGACTATCCCAAAGACACCAACCCCGCATTCAACCTGTTCAGCCTCCCTCTAACCTTCTCCGGTCTGTCTTCCACGACCTCTACCTTTGGTACCTCCTTCAACTCTACGTCCTTCTCGCTCTCCACTTCTCTCGTCTTCTTGCTATCCTCCTTCTCAAATCTCCTCTTCCACATACCCACATAGTTGACCGCCGCCTGCCTCACCCAGATACACCACCACATTTTCTCCGCCCACCGCAAGATGTCATCATCTGTCGCACCGGCATACGTTACATCTGTCCACTGCATCTGGAGGTTCTTCTCGCGCGGCGTAGTAGCGAGTGAAAGGGTACCAGTGTCGGGGTCGAACAATGTCCAACGGAAGAGACAGAGTAGCTTAGCTGAGGGCGACATGTTAGCTGGTGGTGGATGCGGTGTGAATGACACTGGTGGTGTGCGTGGAAGGGCATCGGTGTAGACTGGTACATCTTGGGGATGGGTAGAGGAGAGGGGAGGGAAGAATGACGAGACAGGTGAGCAGGGTATCGTAGATGTGGTAGCGATGGATAAGCTCGGCGTGAGGGGCGGTGTTGAAGGTGGTGTCATCTCGCCGATCATCGCAGGTAAGAGATCAGGAGTGATGGACTGTTGGTGCTTGACAACGATGGTAGGTCGAGAAACATCGCTGGTCCATCCATCGATGCTGGTTGGTATGGTATTAGTGATGAAATCTCGTAGTCTCTGCTCCTCGCATTCTTTGGCCCAGGCGGCGCGCTTGATGTAGTATTCGGTTGCAATGTGAGGAAACATGGTGAAGACCTTGTCGCGGACAGCTGCCCTGGTATGCTTATACCATAATTGAAGATCATCGTCGACGTGCTCGCCAGTTTGGCTATCGTTGTCCTCCAATCCTGCAACGCGTTCGTTGAGAAAATATCCGGGGTAATGCTTAGGAACCCATTCTTTGATGAACGGCGTCCAATGTGGCGCGCGATCTTCGAGCCGGCCGTTGTACTTCTCCTCAGCCAGTCGTGCGGCGAAGTGACCCGGGTGGAAGAGCCAAGAGCTGGCAAAGTGTTTGTAGACTATCATCACGATTAGCTTGCGCGCGTCACATTATGACTTGTAAGACCCACTCTCGTTCTTGCTCTTGAAGCCAGCGTTCAGTATCCTCCGATCCAAACCTACGGCCCGCAGCGCATCCTTCGGATCCTTGCTAATCCACACCATGCTTCCAGGAAAGTTTGTCGCTTCAACCTCTTCAACGCGGATGTGCATACCTTCCAGGTCGATTGTAAGACCCAGTGGCTTCACCATACTTCCGATGATCTTGCTATTACTTGCGTAATTGAGCTCAAAGTGGCACCAACGAAACAGCTCGGGCTTGAAGCAGACCTTGACGTCGATCTGAACAAAGTAGTTTCCTTCACCGTGGGGAGCATCAATGGCAAAGTACATGCAATCTGGGGTGAGATAGCCCCGGCGTCCGTGGGTAGTATCAAGAACTTCTTTAATGAGACATACGGTGCTCTGCCAGGGAAAGTCGTCGATCGAGGTGCTGTATCGAGAGTGTAGAGGCTCGCAGACCAGAAAGTCGACGTCACCGAAATCATCCTGTCGTTGTCAGGAAATACAGTATATATGTGAGACATGTTTATACCTTGCCAGGCATTTCAGTTGGCACAACGACTTGTGCGAAGACGGTCTGCAACACAGCGGTTACCTGTGCTTTGACCTTGTTGTAGACAACTGGGGAGATGCGCGGACAGTATAGTCCTTTGAAGGCATGGCCACCCATCTTGTGCTGTAGTCGATGGAACAAGCAGTGGTCAGTGTTGTTGAAACTTGTAGAAGATGGCAAAATAGTGAAGTGTAAACGAGAGGTGGATATCCTGTTACGTTAAGGTATTGTACTGACCAATCGCTGGACAAAGTAAAGGTAATGGCAGCTGAGTTACATCAGGTACAGGTGAAAGATATCCAGATGACACGGCGAGTGCTTGACGGCACAAAGACCGCAATCCTATACACCGCTTCCTTTAGAGATATTCGTTATCTTCCAGTCTTACCTTCATTCTGGGTGTTTGACAGTACAGCTGTTCCATCTCGATTGCGCAGGCGGCAGTCCATGAATCGAGACAGCACAGAACCACTTCTTACTTGTAGCCCTCAGTGACTGCGTATGATAGAGTGAACATGTTCAGCTTGCATGGCAGAAGCCTTCCGCGTAGCATGAGTTTTGTGAAATTCTGTACCTCTCAGCTGTACGACTGCGTGTCGGAGCATATTGGAACTGCGCAGAGACTGACAAGGGCGCTTACTTTGAACCTGAGAAGATCTTTCTGCGGCCTTGTGTATCATTCCAACGTCGCTCGATATCTGTAGTCTCCAGGGTCAAGTGTGCCTCGCCGGCAGCCTTCCAGTATGTCATCCATAGCCACAACTGCAGCGCATCTTTGTGGCGTTCAGAAAACGGTTGGACGAGGCTGTCCCACATCACCTTCACCACCACCGCCCATGCGGCGCAGCAATGCCACGAGCGCTAAATCTGAATACTTATTAGCACGACAACCACGAAAACCACAAAGGAAATACAATCATCCCCTACTATGGCAGTGGCACGTCTCCAAGCAATCCTCGCATGCCTTCCTTGCGGTACCGCAGAAGCCAAAGACGAGACCTATCCCAACGAAAAAGCCGCGCTACTCTCCGCCGCTACATCCAACTCACGTCTTACCGCTGAGACTGCCGACAATGTTATCGCAATCCTCCTGACCACGTCCCTCACCGGCCCAGCCCTCCACATGCAGCTCGACTCCGTCGTCGGCGCATCGGGCTGGCGCTCCAACATGGCCAAATACGTCCTAGAAAAGCTCACTGCCGCGCTGCAGGCGTCGCACGAGAGACTCGGCCCAACTATCCGCAGCGCCTACCATCGCGCATGGGAAGCAGCGCAAAGCATCCAAGGCTTCGTCATCGAGCATCCCGTCATGTGCACCGTCATTGCCCTGGGCGTACTTGCACTCGTCGCGCCGTGGGTACTCGAAGCGCTCGGTTTCGCAGAGTTGGGGCCAGTCCAAGGTACGTGTTATTTTAAAACATACGTCTCTGCCTTTTTCATTGCTCAGTTCCAATCAAGGCGGATGTTGTTGGACGAGTGAGAAAAGGTGACGGGATGATGGGCGACAGAAGCGAGAAAGGATGCGTCCCGCGGAAACTTGGAAAAAGCAAATTTGACAGGAGAACTATTAAACTATGTACCTTTACGAATGACTTGCTATTTGCGGAAACTGACGCGACACAATGCAGGTACCTTCGCTTCCTGGTGGCAGTCGGCCTACGCTGGCCTGGTACCGAAGCGCTCGCTGTTCTCCTTTTTCCAGCGTTTGGGCATGGCGAAGTGGCACTGGGTTCTGGTCTGAGATGCAATGAAGCTTGGTTGTCTTCTCTCCGCGCTTCTCATTTGCCAGGAGGTTCCTTCCGGGGGTGATTTTCAGGGAAGCGGGGAAGAAACCAGATGTAGAACGGGTATTGAAGGAGCCGATATAGCTGCAGGTTGAAGGATTCTGTTCATCTCGCGAATCTTGCTTGCATGACTGACATGGGGGTCGCCTATATCGTTTCTTGCCTAAGGTCCTGAGGCCCTGTAATGCTCGTCTCCAGATGTCATCGTAATCTCCTCACGACGTCATAGAAGCTATGTCATACTCACTCAAGAACGACAGACTGCAAAAGACTGTTTCAAAATAACGCAACGGTTCCCGTCCCGCAAAGTTAACAGGTAACAAAGTTGATCGCAATAGAAGGCCGCAGACATGACTGAAGCGCACCGTGTGTGGGACCAAAGGGGAAGATTTGCGGGGGACCGTGGAGGCCGCGTCACGCATACGCGCCCGCGCTAATACTGTCAAAACAACAGCCATTTCCCTACCACCACCGTCCACTAGTCCCGCCAAGACCACTTGTTACGACACCATCCACCCCACGCACGACGGCTGCTCGCGGGAGGGGCGTAACGCGTCTCATTGGCTATTTGAGTTGGGCGTCTCAACGTCTTTTCCTTGTCGTGCTTATCTGCGCCATCGCGATCGTTATGCGGCAGCGACTGTACGTCCTCGGAGGCGGAGAGGTGAAACACAACAACAGCAACAACAATAATAATACTGCCCGCCCAACTTCTAGCGCGCTTGAACCCGTTCTCGAAGCACGGTCTCTCAAGGTGCTTTGGGCGGCATGGTGCGACGCTGTTGTTGCACATGGCAAGAATAAAGATGAAGATGGAGATGGTGGAGATGGTGGGGATAGTGGTGGTGTTGAGGAACCATGGCCGTGGGTTCTGGAGTACATGGGCACAGGCCTTACGACTGCTCAGAAGGAATGTTTGACTGGAGATGAGGATCTGAAACGAGCAGCTCCTCTTGCGGAGGCGGTGTTATTTGGTAGTGTGATGCATGATGGTTTGAGGGGGTATGTTGTCAGGAGTGGTAATGGGGATGGGGGTGCGGGTGCGGATGCGGGTACTGGTACCGAGCGCCCAGAGCAGAAGATCGTCCTTTTCGGTACCGATGTCGAAATGGAAGAGGGTGTGCCAGAAATCCAGACTTTTCTGGCAAGCGAGAGCGGCTTCACAGCGACCATTACAGACGTGAAGATCGATACCTCAGGCTGCATATCGCTCTACACGGCGTCTCCGTCTACAACAACCACAACCACAGACTTGGTCCTGCGCTTTGAGAACTTTTCGCATCTCCGGCGGTATCTTTCTTTTGCTCCACAGCCCTTCTCGCTTGCACGGGAAGTAACATGCCTCCCATTCACATCCCCCTCCCCACCCCAACACGTCGTAAACGCTACGACAACATCTGCTCTAGACGCCAATATGCACGTTTGGACTTCGACCAGTGATCCTAGATACCCAAAATGCTTAGGCCGGTCACATGATGGCGGGTTCGACATGTCGCCCTTGCCTTATCTGGAGGAGTCATGCATCCTAAAGGTAGCGGCTGGCGGTTATATGAGTGCTGCGGTGAGCTCGGACGGGGAACTGTTTGTTTGGGGCCAGGCGTGTCCTGGAGCAGGTAAGGAACTAGATGTGCTTAAGGTTAGTGAAGGAGTAGAGGCGCCGGTCACAGGGATTGGTGTTGATGAGGAGCAGGATGAGTTTGTCAAGTGCTTGGATGTGAGGATAGATGGACAGGTGGCGAGGGTGTATGATGTGGCGGTTGGCCACGGGCATCTTTTAGTGGCTGCTGAATTGTGTGGAACGGGAGAAGAGACTAAGAGTGTGTTGTTTGCAGCTGGAGATGACAGTGAAAACCAGCTTGGTCTTGAAACCGGTGCAGACTTCAAGGAAAGTTTTGAAGAAGTCGCATCTTTACGAGGCAAGCGAATTGTTCAGTTAGAAGCGGCTGGATGGTCAACTTATGTCGTATTACTCGAAAAGTAAGTGTACATTATCGTATGCTTTGTGGTCCCCAACTAGGTATCCTATTGGGTACATCAATACAAGTGAAGGACTTAACCTAGCACGCCATGTACGGGAGTGAAATCGACACCCAGCTCTGCTTAACAGAGACAGCCTCCACAACGCGCTGATCCTCCGCAACAGTATGCCAGAAACCTCAAACGATTGGCTGGTCCTTGTTCGACATTGAACGTTGGGGCCTCCGCGTCAACCTGTCCATCGTGGATACTCACCGCTGGTGCTGGTAGTGGTGGCAGATATCCGTTGAGCTCAATAGCGATGGCCGTTGTAACCGTGATGGAACCGGCTCTGCTCTGGTCCCTTGGAGGTAAAATCGCGACTTGAGGTTTCTGTGAGGCCTTAGAGGCTCTCGACGCCGAATGATTGGATCTGCGAGTGGTGAGGTGGGTGAGCTGGCGAGGGAGGATCCACTCGAACAGAGGACGTAGGTGAGGGCAGCATGCTACGATAATCCCAGTGCTTATCTGGGCGGTTGCCCACATCAAGGTGGTGCCTATACCATATGTCACGTCGCCTTGATATGCAACATCAGCGAGTGAGTCGACGCGAAAGCCACCAATGAATATGTTGCTGAGTTAGTTAGCCCCAGCGGATCGAGAAGTATAGGTACTTCTCGCACAACAAACCGAAAGCGAACATCAAGGAGACGGCCAGCTTGTGCGATCGCCGCAGCCTCAAATGCCAGACGACATAGTGTGGTGAACACCAGATCGACGCATCCAGAACCACTCCCAGTACCGCTATAGATACTACATACGGTTTCAACCGGAAACAGTGTTCCGGATCCTCAAGAGGCATCAGGTAGTTGTGTTTCCACGGACGGCAGTGGAGTGCAATGACGACCACGGACGCAAGTCCCAAGGCAATTGCCGTAGCGATACAAAAGTGTGCTGCAAGTCAGATTAATAAACACGTGTGTATCGGAAGTGCCTGGTTGTCCGAGGTGCAACAATACCACCGTGTCTAAGCCAGCGGTACGTTTTAGTGTACAATGTTCGGACGAAGAAGACGAGGATTGCGCATCGGGTGAGGGCGATGCTGATAGCCATGGGAAGTCGGAAGAGCCATAGTATCTGCATGCGTAAGCTCTATCCGGGATGGAAGAAGCATAGTCCTACTATCAGCGTTCGCTTGAGGTCTGCCATGGTAGCTGTCACTGTGTGCTGACGGGCAAGACTAGCAGCCATCGCTTCGTTGCATTAGCCATGGCATCTGATTGCAGACAGAAGGACTCGCAAACTATGAACATTGCCATGACCACATATTGGAGGAGCTGATGCATGTGGTCAGACATCGCACTCGCTTTCGTTACAAGGCTGGGCAGTACCAGAGCAAGCAGCAGGAAAGTATCGTCGATGGTCCATGGCAGTAGCCGTGACCGCTTTGCGCAGAAGCGTGCCAGGAGGAAAAGCAGAGGTAACACCGACAGAATAACAAGGCCCGCAATATATTTGCCGAACAGCATGGGTCGTCTCGGATCGTGCCGAGTAAGGAAAAAAAGAACCGGCGGAGTACCTGGAAATCGCTTCAGGATGCAGCCGTGCGCATTACGAGATGGGATAGGGGATAGGGCGATGCAAAGCGAAACGAGCGAATAGGTCTCGAAATAGATCATGGGGTTGTGGCGGTGGGGAGGAAGATAGTGGTGGATTGGAATCGAAGATGCAGATGCATATGGTTATGCGGAGCTATTGCCGTCGAGGGTGGTGAAACACATGAGAGACAGCGATAAACGCAAGAGCGATGCCGATGAGAAAGTGAAGCAATCCGGGAAGCCGCTGTTGGAATGCCAACATTGAGCATGGATGAAGTGAGTTGCTGGCACCCCTTTGCGGTAGTGACGGCGGCGACAAGGTTCCATTACTGGCCCGGGTGTCGCAGGTGTCAAGAGGAATTGTTCGGGCAAATCCTGGACTACCGTGCACATCAGATTGCCATATCCGCGGCGCGTTAATTACCTGATGATGTCAATCGCGGAAGAAAAAATGTTGCTGTGTTGATGCCCGGGTGACCAAAGCTGTAAACAAACCTGACATATCGTGACTGCCCAAGTAGTAAGCGAAGCCTGGACGGGGTTAGCACGGGATTCAGGGCAGCCAAAGCCTGAGCAGGCGGCGAGAAAAGCAAATGAGGGGTGCTAGGATTGAGGGCGAGGGTGAACAAAGAGGGTTCGGTGAGGGTTCGTAGAGGTTACCAGCAAGTCGCAGAATGGTGCACAAGGTGAATTGTCGGGTTTCAGAGTGCCCGCCGCAATGTAGGCCACCAACTATGGTGCGCGCCTCAGCCTCCATTGTACGGCTTTCTTGCGCCACTGTCGGACCTATCGACACCCACGCGGCACCGGATGTCCGACGACAACAGGCACCAGTTCGGAGGTGCGACTCTTAAGTTGCTGGAAGGCATACAACTCTATCGCGAGTTTCGAGATGCGAATGCTTTGCTCAGGCTCGGACCAGTGTCGCGTCTGCTCGAGTCTCGAGTCGGTCCGACCGTGTTCTTTTTTCGGCGTACCTGCTTTAGCACGGAGGTATTGACACACCTCGGACAATTATTATACGCCCGAATATGCATCCATTTTGTATGCGCAATTCATACATCGTGACGAGCAGATGTTTGTCAGACAACGGTACCCGCAGATGCAGTAGGATTCTCCGCTTGCGTGGCCAGCGCTGATCGATCGCACTTGAATCTCAGCTATGCTGGCTGCCGTCCAGTCAGAACAGATCGTCGGGCTCAAAACGCATCACCGGCAGGGCTGATCAGGCATTAGAGAAACACCTGAGAGAGGCAAAAAGCAAGGGTAGCGTCGATCATGATCACCACCACCTCACGCAAACAGGCCTCGTTTGAAGTGGGTACGATAGTTCACGCAGGCTGTCGCGGCACTGCTAAACATGGCTTCCCACGACGCTGAGAGGCTGTGAATTTTCTCACCATCAAGCGCTACAACGCGAACACCCCATGGCAAAACGGAGAATCCGGTGCTGTTGCCACGACCGGTAGCGGACGGCGCATGACAGGCCGTACGCCCTCTATCCGCTGATTGGGCCGTTGTGCGAAACGCGAGCGGGATCCGGCAGATGGGTGCGCGCCATCCAGGGGTGCAGCATAGTTCATCCTTCTTTCTGCGCCTTTCCAAGGCCGTGCAAGACCCACCCATGTCGATGGTCCAAGGCTGTAAACGTCATGTGCCCGTCCAGCTGCCTGCCAACTCGTACTTTTCCGCTTGGGACCCATAGCATCTCTTGTCGAGCTAGGGCTGCCTGGGGAGTGGGAAGCGAGATGGGCCACTAATGCCATCCTGACCTGATCCGTCGACCGTTTTTCTGGCTTCAAAGTAGCCTTGCCATCCGTTTTACACGCGGCAGCTTCTCTTTTCCTTTTGTCTCGACGAGCCATCATCGTTACAACTTCCGGAACCCCTTGAGACTGCACTGTGTATTTAGGGTTCTGCACTCCCTCTCGACTTGCTCCGCGGCTCCTGCGGCCATGAACTAGCACAGCAATCCGCTCTATCCGGACTAATACATACCATGGAAAACCGACAGTCTTCGCCATCCCCTCGCAGGGCGAGTCCTCGACACAGCATGCAGAGACAAAGAAGTAACTCGTTCCCCATTGTCGAGGCTCTGGGATGCTCAACGCCAGAAGCACTCCTCATTCTGGCAGAGGGCAGAGCCGCAGTTCGGAAACGCCGAGCTCGACGCAACCAGTCGGTTGACGATGAAGTCAACCGCCTCTTCAACCCCCAAGACCACATCAAGTTCCTAGAAGGACTCGCCGCCCTGCCCACGCCTCAGGATCAACCATCCCCCTTTGACCCAAAATACTCGTTGCACTCTCGGGTCCCATCCGATGCCACAGATCACAGCACTTCAACCGTAGTGCCGCATGTGAACGATAGGGAGCCTCGGAATCTCTCACCAACGCTAGGCGACTATTCCGCCAACCTTGCCGCTTTCATCAAGAACCAGCTCAAGTCGATACCAACGTACCAATCCAATCATCGCCCCACATCATCCCTTTCCCCCCGATCATGCCCGGATCTATCGTTTCCCATGCAGACCCCTCCGTCACCGAACCCATCCGGTCGGCGACAATTCGAGGCCCCAAAGGCAATCGAGATACCCCCGGTGCGACCACCGATGAAAAGCCAATTCTCCGCCTGGAGCTCCACCGACGACGAGACAGACGACGAAGCGCTCCCCCTACCGGAATATGCATTGCCCACTTCGGCATGCAACTCCAAGGGAAGCAAGTACACGCCATCCATCTTAGGCTACTATGAAACCTCGCATAACAACTCGTCGTTTCTATTTTCATCAACGCCGCTAGAAGAAGAGTCAGAGCCCACTACGGCTAAAGCCTTCAAGTTTCCCGACCCGTCAGCACTACCTCGTTCGTCACCCGATGAGCAAGAACACGATGATGACGATGACGACGACGACGACGCTGCACACCAACACGACTACCCCTCTTCGTCTTGCCCCTCTCAGCCTCAGCTCACTTCCACGTCAGCGCCTTCGTACACGTCGTCTTCGGTGTCGAGTTCCAGTTACTTTGACTGCAAGCGACCTGTGGCTATCACGCCGCAAATGAAGGAAAGGGTGATTGCGGCTGTCACGCCCCCGCATCCACACAACAAGAGGCTTACCGCCGTGTCGCCTTGGGAGGGGAATGCATTTTCCAACGTACACGACGTGTATGTTGAATCGCAGCACCGCGTCAACGTCGATGGCATGTCTTTCGATATGCTCCGCGATTTTAACGTGTCCAGCAGACTTACACCTTGCTGATTGCGTTACCACGCCTTGTTTTCGATCTTCTTGTCTTACTAGCGCGCGCGTTTGGAGGTGTTGTCGTCGTTCATGTTGCCAAAAGCGCCTGTGGTCCAGCTGGTCTGCGCCACATGCCAACGGCCCTCTCCTTCGGTTTTGCACATTTCTTCTTCCTTGTCTTTTGATCCTATAAATATCCCTCTTGTAATCCGGTATCTCTGGGCGTTTCATACAAGACTGCTTAGCCTTTTCTTATGTCTGCGGTTGTGGCTTGGTTCGGCAGAGTTTGATTTTGTCCACTTTTCTATTCTACGACGAACAAGCGGTTTTTACTTTTGAGTTGTCAGGCGTCTACTTGGAACACAGGACGAGTGTACGCGACACGAATTCCATTCTTTTAATCTAGCGAGAGAGAGGAGTTTGGGGGAGGCTAGCATATTTTTTCGGTTGTGAGAAGTAGGGGTACACAAGTAGCGAAGACAGAATGACAGCACGGAAGAGGGTAGTAAATTTCGGCATGGGTCAGTCTGAGAAGAAACACACAGCATACATTTGCACACAACAACGTACAAGACACATCTGGTAGCAATACACAAAAAATCATTTGCGCGCGTCTTGCTTTTCTCTGCACCTTGTTGAGGTACATGTGATGCTGAGATAGGGCTGGGAAGCTGCCATACCGAGTACCTGGGTTGAGCAGGAAGGGATCTGAATCATGAGACAACGGCAGTGCGAGCACGGGTATTTTGATTAGTAGATTGTGAGCGGTGAAGAAGGGGGACTATATGCAAGGTCCCGCTCGTGCAGACGGCGTGTGTCGATCTGGAGACGGGCTGGAGCTGCATGGGTGGCGATCGGGGGGTTTGGAGGAATGCGGCGACGTCATGTTTGATTGGTTTGCGCGACGCGGCTTTTGCATGGCGAGGAACGCGACTGTGCCGCGAGAGCAAACATGACACGCGCAGCTGTGTGAAGAGGCAACGCACTTGGCTTCATGGATTTTCCTGCGGTTTTGCCTGATTGCCTTTGACTGCACTGACGCTCTTTGCCATTGTAGGCGGGTCAAGGTATAGGACACGTTGAAGGTTGAAGTTCCAGTTACTTTGACTGCAAGCGACCTATGGCTATCACGCCGCAAATTCACCAAAACCTTCCCCACCACTCCCACTCCCACTTCAACCGCGCACTCTGCCCACCATGGCAGACTCGGAGCCCAGCCTTGTGGCCCTGGCCCTCGGAAACGCCGCCTATGCCTTCTCCAAGGTGCAGCCGCTCTTGCCAGTCTACGTTCACATGATCCTCGCGTCTCTGTTCCCCATCTACGCCGCATCCCACGCATCCCTCACCCGGCCCTCGACCGCTGCGAAACCCACCAAAAAAGGAAAGGAAAAGACACGGCGCGAGGGCGAGGGCGAGGACGAGGACACGGACAGCGAAGATGAGGCAGAAGAACCCACGCACGAAATGGAAGGCCTCACCAACAAGGACATCATCCTCTTCCCCCTCTTCGCCGGAATAGCCCTGGCAACACTGTACTTCCTCATCAAATGGCTCGAAGACCCCACCATCCTGAACCAAGCCCTCAACGCCTACTTCGCCATCTTCGGCGTCGCAGCAGTAACAACGCTAGTATCAGACGTCCTCGACATCGGCCACTCCATCATCTTCCCACGTCGACACGCCCTCGCCGGCGCTCTCTACCACGTCCACGCCAGCGACGCCCTCGCCGTACCAGTCGCCGGCACCTCCAGCGCCAGCCAAACTCTTTCAACCCCCTTACCCGGCTTCCTCGCACGCATACCACTGTCGCAAGCCGCAAAAGAATGGCTCTGGGCCGACCGCGCAATGCCGAGTCGCAAGTGGACGCTCAAACTGCACACACACGGCGCCCTCTTCGGGAAGCTCAGAATCAGCGCGCACACCATGGTCGGTGCTGCCGTTGCACTCTCTACCATCCTCTACTTCAACCTCGTGGATAAACCATGGTATCTGACCAATCTACTCGGCTTCAGCTTCTGCTACGGCTCCCTGCAGATGATCTCTCCCACGACCTTCTTCACGGGCAGCGCGATTTTGGTCGGGCTCTTCTTTTACGACATCTACATGGTTTTCTTCACCCCGCTCATGGTTACTGTCGCGACGAAGCTCGATGTACCTATCAAACTCATGTTTCCTAAACCCGGGGGCAGGAACACGGCTGCTATGCTTGGGCTAGGCGATATCGTCATACCAGGCTTGATGGTGGGGCTGGCGCTAAGGTTCGATTTGTACCTGTTCTATCTGAGGAGGCAGAAGCGCGTGTCTGCAAAGACTGGTGAGAGTGGGGGAGACGAAGAAACTGTTGTCAAGGCGGAATACCACCCTCTTGCGGGTCGGTGGAGTGATCATTTCTGGACACATTCCTTCATGGGGAGGCCGCTGTGGAATCCTACTTCTCCTACCGATGCTGCTTCGAGGACGCATCAAGGCGGAGAGGGGAACGAAGAGGCGCCATTCACTTTTCCCAAAGTCTACTTCAACGCTGCGCTGATAGGTTACGTGGGCGGTTTGGTTGCTACGTTATGCGCACTCCATCTTATGAATCATGCGCAGCCAGCACTACTTTGGCTGGTGCCTGGTGTGTTGATTAGTCTTTGGAGTACGGCGCTTGTGAGGGGCGAGCTGGGGTTGATGTGGAATTACAGTGAGGAAATCGTTGAAGAAGAGGGAGATGCAGCAGATGGGAAGGGGGAGAAGAAGAGAACGCCTGAGCAAGGCAATACGGGCGGCGACAAGCATGACAGGAAGAATGAGAAGGCCGAGAGAGCCAAGACCAAGTCGCGCAGGTCGAATCGAGAGCTGCTCTCGTTTTCTATCGAGGCGCCGCGGAAACCTCGTCCGACTGCATCGATTGAGAGTGATGATGTCGAGGTGGAGCGGAGTGGCACTGTCACGACTGCGCAGTCTGTTGTTGGTAATGGAACGTTTTGGGCGGGGTCAACTTCGAACACGACGGCTCGTCAAGAGGTAGAACATACGGAGCCTGCTGGAAAACGTCTAAGGGTGAGATAGCAGAGCAGGAGGAGAGGTCTTACGGTTATGTTGTTAAAGATTGCGCATAATGGACTTGCATATAGCGATGGAGTTGTAGGGTTTACTACTGGTCTGCATAGAGTCTTTTTTATGCTACACATTCGAATGTCATGCGACCCTTTTTTATCTGATAGTGTGTATGCTATATTACACATACATATATATCCTATTTTTTCACACAACAAACTGATTTTGATCTCTGTGCAGTCCCAGACGCCGACTCGGAATCTCTTACGAGCTAGAGACGGAACCTTGGTCGGAACCCGTGAATTGGATGAGCCAGCATGAATCTCTAATTTAAAGCACTCTCATAAGAGTTCAGCCATGCGAGACGTGAGTGTCATCGCCGGATCCAGGGTTTGGAGTGCGGACCTTGCGTGAATAACATGTTATTTGTCCAGTGATTTCAAAACAACACCGGGAAGTGATGGAATGAACCAAAGGTATACAAAGGATGGGATTGAGTGAGAGGTGTGGCAGGCATTCAAGTATCCTTTTAAGAAGTACTCCATCTCCCGAGACTACCAAAGGCAGTAAAAGATGGGCAAATTACTTGGCTGCTAACAGAAACAGAACATACACGCGAGCTTATAAGCTGGGCACTATACTTTCCGCGCACTATACTTCCCGCGCACCCCACCACAATCACGATCTCTGGTTGTAACGTTGGATAACTCAACAACAGCGATTATATTTGCCACTTATTACACATAGAAGTAAATACAGAGTTAGAAGAAGCTATTGCTGTAGTTGTAGCAGATGTTGTATGTAGTCCTCGTACTGTTTTCGCTGTTTGTATAGCTGCAGCTTCTACAGTAAGCTTAATCGCTTCGATATTCTTAAAACGCTCATTCTAGTCAACAGGAATCCGTTTTCTTTTCTTTGTAGCTGCAATTATATCAACTCAATATTAGAGTTAAGTATTAAGAGATTGCAGCTCAGCTGCGCGAGTATTTGCCATCGCAATTGCTTTGCCTGCCTTAGCGATCAGCATCCTAGTACTCCGCGATAGACACTCTAATCGCTCAAGCTGCCGACAGGACTTGTATAGGTCTTGAGAACGTCGTGGAGTTGTAATAATTGTATCTAGCATACTAGCTGGTTGTATAACTGCTGGTGGAGTAACTAGGCGGCCTTGAACTTGTGATGATGCGAGTACTTGCTCTAGGTTGTACGGCACGAGCCCTGTAGCTCTCCATCCAGCTTGTATTACTGATCGCGATAGCCCAGCGCGTCGAGCTTTATCGTATAGTAAGATGAAACTCTGTTTCTTAATTGGAGCTGCGTCGTCAAGGCTGGAGAGAGCAGCGATCTGCTTGCGATAGGACGACTTAACAACTGAGAAAGGAGCGAGATCTAATAGCTGGAGTATATAAGATAAGTGTAGTGGAAGATAGAGTACGTGTATCTTGCTTATGTAGCAAGCTATCATGAAGTCGTCTTGACTGTGGGATTCATGCCCGTCAAGAAGAAGTAACGTAGTTCACAAGCGAGTGACGCACCCAAGCGAGTGACGCACTTTTGCCAAGACCTCACCAAACTTCAATCAAGTCGTAATGCCTCAACGCAACAGCGTAAAAACAATCTCAAACAAAGCGGATATACAGCTTGCGATACAGGCTATCCAAAGAGACGCGTCACTAACAACGCGACGCGCTAGAGCTATCTATAGCGTCTCTGAAGCAACACTACGAAGGCGACTCGCTGGGACGCCTCAACGACGCGATTGCGCGCCCAACTCAATAGCTCTTCGAGGATCTAAAGAGATAGCGATTGTTAAACATGTTCTTAAGCTAGTAGAGCAAGGATATCCGCCTAGGCTCGCTGATGTTGAAGAGATGGCCAGTTCTTTACTTGAGATCCGCAATTAGAAGCTAGTTAGCAAGAACTAGGCTGCAAACTTCGTAAATCGTCGTTCTGAGCTTAAAACTAAGTTTAATCGAAAGTACGACTATAGTAGAGCCCTCTGCGAAGATCCTGAGGTTATTCAAGGCTGGTTCCGCCTAGTACAGAATACGAAGGCGAAGTACGGCATCTAGGACGAAGACACGTACAACTTTAATGAGACTGGCTTTATGATAGGCGTAATATCGACTAGCTCGGTAGTTACAGCAGCAGACCGTCGAGGACGGCCCAAAACTGTTCAGCAGGGCAACCGGGAGTGGGTCACAGCTATCCAGGGCATAGACGCGACGGGGTGGGCGATTCTACCTTTTATCATCTTCTAAGGCAAGCACTACCTCTCCGCCTAGTATAAAGAGGAAAACCTGCCTCGAGACTAGGTAATTGCAGTCTCTGAGAACGGCTAGACGACAAACAAGCTTAGTATCAAGTAGTTAGAGCACTTTGACAGGCATACAAAGGGGAGGGTTATTAGCAGTTACCGCCTGCTAGTTCTTGACGGTCACGAGAGCCACAGCTCGATCGATTTCTACTAGCTCTGCGAGGAGAAGAAGATAATCACCCTCTGTATGCCTCCACACTCCTCGCACTTGCTGCAGCCGCTTGACGTTGGCTGTTTTGCGCCGCTAAAGAAGGCGTATAGGTGCTAAGCCGAGAAGCTGATGCGCAACAAGATTACCCACATTACTAAAACAGAGTTCTTGCCGTGCTTTATTGCCGCTCAAAACGTCTCAATTACAAAGAGCAATATCCTAGGAGGCTTCTGAGGCGCTGGCTTAGTTCTATTTAATCTAGACGCTGTTATATCGATGCTCGACGTCCGCCTGCGTACTCTACTGTTACCCACCGTCGAGGACGGTCCCTGGCAGTCGCAAACCCTAAGCAATACCCTAGAGTTAGGGTCTTAAACAAAGCTAGTTCTTGAGAGGTTTCAGAGGCATGTAGACAGCTTACCTACTTTAATAGTTGAGGCGGTGAAAAGCCTCTCTAAAGGCGCAGAGATAATGGCGCATGCTTTAGTGTTGTCGCAAAAGCGTATTGCTGAGCTTAAAGCAGCTAACGAGGCCGCTACGCGACGTAAATTGTATAAAAGAAAGCGAGTACAGAAGGAGGGAACCCTTAAAGTAGAGGAAGGTCTTCGACTTACAACTCTAAAGGAGTTTGGGGCGCGCAGCGATAGGAAGAAGGCGAAGAAGAGGGTGCGCGTTGAGGTGGGCGAACCGTCGCAAAGACGCTGTAGACGCTGCGGCGAGGCTGGTCACAACTCGCGCACATGCAAGCAAGATATAGTAGTAGATTCTGAGTAGAATGGTCTATTACGATTTCTGATTACAGTTCTATACGGTGCTGCACTGTCGTGCGCAGTCGTGGTTTTGGTGAGGTCTTGGCAAAAGTGCGTCACTCGCTTGGGTGCGTCACTCGCTTGTGAACTACGTTAAGCGGTTTACTCTAAGTAATAACGCTGATTCTGGGATAAAACAGCGGTTGAGCCACTCTATCGCGACGTTGTTAGACGTCCATCTATTCTCTGATGATGTATAGAACTAGTCTGGTATTAATTTAGGCGGAAACTAGGTTGTTTGTAGATGTTTTCCCTTAAAAATTACTGCGGGACGGAGACGCTGGCCTATCGCAGATACGCACTCTACGATCAACACCTACTCGCGATTCTCTAGCGTTTTCTTGTAAGCCTTCTTCTTGTGTAATAACGCGATGACCTAGCTATTGTTACATACACCTAGTGCAAGCCCAGTCTTATCTATATTCTATATCGCTTTAGGTGGTATATTGAGCCGCAGTCTTGTGCGCTTAAACAACTCTAGAAAGTCGCGTATTAGTTCTAGAGTAGCTGCCTTAGCGCGCGAGGCTTCGATCGATCGACCGACAATAGAGTGTACACGTGGATTGCGCCAAAGGAAGTTAGTGACCCAGAGATGGCCAAGAGGCTCATGATCGTTATTCATGCGGAGAATCCGGGTAGCCATCTCTCGTACACGCCCATGAGATGGCGGATGAGCGCGAAGATCCTCATCTATTATCCAGTCAACAAGAAACTACTCTTGTTCCGGAGTCAGTCGCTGTTGTTGCTGATGAGCTATCGCGTGGCGTTGTTGACCTGCTCGGCGGCCGCGCAGCGTCGATTCAGGTATATTGTACGCCCGACAAGCTTGTCGCTGGCTCGTAAAAATGCCAGCATCAAGATCAGCGATAGCAGATTGTATAAGGAGCTCGCGATCAGCCATATTGAGTACGTTGTGGTTGCGTTGTCGCGCGTTGAGTGTGGAGATCGCGATTGTGGTGGGGTGCGCGGAAAGTATAGTGCCCAGCTTACAGCACGACATCGCAGCCTCTTCTTTGGAATTAATATCGCTATTGCGTCTCAGATGATGTTGCAGTTGAGCTAGCCTATGGTTGTAATTAGGGTTACAATGACAGCAAGGGTGACGAGGACGGCGAAGAACAAAACGGACGAGTACGGATGATACTTTGGTCGTTAGGTAGTGCGTACCACATCTAATTCTTATAATACGTTGTACGCATGTCATGTAGCCCGACTGTTATCGCAATGAAAACCTGAGGTCTATCGTCCTCGACTTTTCTCAATCACCTGGATGGGGTATTCACGAAGCCGAAGGCATGGTGTCGAATCTTGGGCATTTTCCGAGTTAGTAACCGTATGTTCGCAGAGCATCAAGTCGGGATCTACTTCACCCTCCGACTCCGCCTTCGTCTCCGCCTTGGCCTTGCCTTCGCCACCAAAGGTACACATTCCAGAATGCATCCGCCGCTAGAAAGGACCGCGGATACGAAGCGCTCCGAGAGACAACATACCAGCCAAGAACAATCGGAAGACCAAAAAACCCTTTTCCGTGATCAGATCAGCCTAAGTGTGTTTCACACAGCACAAAGTGGCTTAGTGCTTTCGAATGTTTTACCTTGCCCCATTAGAAGAGAGACGTTCCCAGTAGAATTCGTTGACGACTAATCGCGAATCAACTTCGGATCGGCCCTTCTTATGACCCCACCTTATACGCAAAGCTATACGGTCCTTGCGGAGCAACTTTCTACGTTCATCATACTTCGACTGTAAGGAACCCAGTCAGCGGCCATTGACAGTAAGAAGGGAGATCGTAAGTGTGCCCGTAGCATGGCCTGCCTTGGCCCGGGTTCTTAGATCCACATTACGTGCGTATGGCTGCAGAGGTTATGTGGAGGTTGTCTACAAGAAGTGAACGGAAGACATAGTGTCCGTTTCCGTTATCAAGGGAGGAAACGTTGATTATAACTCAGGTAGACGCGCTGCTGCTTAGTTCTTCAAATTCAACATCTTCTCAATACTGTTACACAAATTACAGTCCAAAGACCAACTCTTTATCATAATACTCCTCGAATTATACTTGCCATTGCGATTGCTCTATTGTCACGATGGCATCAATTCGACCTCTACAAGATTTCAGCGAAGCACTGCTCGATAAATATGCAGAGGAACGGGACAAACGCCTGAAACACTCTGGTCAGAAGCAATATGTCAATTTCCGATCGCAAGGTCTCCAAGATCTTGACAAGGACCCTTGGGTGGATTATAGTGATCCGCGAGTCAACGACCCTCCTCTGAAAGACGGTACCAACATCAAATACCTCATCACTGGTGCTGGTATCAACGGTGTTGTCTTTGGGGGACGCCTCATCGAGGCTGGTATCAGCAGCAAGGATGTCGTATGTGTTGACGTTGCTGGAGGATTTGGCGGCACGTGGTATGGAGATGCTGTTCACTTCTGACCGAGAGCAATCACTTACAAGTGTGATAGGTACTACAATCGATACCCTGGAGTCATGTGCGATGTCGAAGGCTATTGCTACATTCCTTTCCTTGAAGAAACAGGTTACCAACCTCGCCACAAATACTCGTACGGCCATGAGATCAGACGCCAGATTGAGCGAAGCGCCGACCACTTTGGGATTCGGGGGCAGTTCTGCACCAGCATCGATTCGCAGATCTGGGACGAGGGAAAGAAACTCTGGGTCGTCACCATGACACGTACCGTGGGGGACCCATCGACGTCAACGACATTCACTGTATACGCCGAGTATATCATGATGTCCAGTGCTCCTTTCATACTACCAAAGATGCCTGACCTTCTGGGATTCGAAGACCTTCACCGAAAGAAACACGTGTTTCATTCCGCCCGCTGGGACTATGAGTATACCGGCGGGACTCAAGAGAAACCTGATCTAGAAAAGCTCCGAGGAAAGCGTGTCGCGATTATTGGTACTGGGGCAACTGCTATCCAGATTGTACCTGAGCTGGCAAAGTGGGCTGACCAGGTATATGTTGTGCAAAGGACAGCGACGCATGTAGGGCCCCGCAACCAAGCGGAGACTGATCCAGAGTATTGGGCCAAGATGACGAGCGAGAAAGGATGGCAGAAGAAACGGAGGTTGGCATTCGATGCGTACGTCAGTAACAGCAAGGGATATGGCCCTGATCTGGTAAATGATGGCTGGACGGCGACTCCGGCTGGATCTGGCTTTCTGGGTTCCAAGTCAAAGCTTGTCGCTCCCAATGAGGTCGAAGAGCATATCAAGGACCTTTATACGCTAGATCTTGCGCGCACTGAGTCCCTGCGAAAACACGTCGACAAGATTGTCAAAGACAAACATACTGCTGAAAAGTTGAAAGCATGGTATGGAAGCTGGTGCAAGCGGCCTTCCTTCCATGATGAATATCTTCAGACTTTCAACAAGCCTAACGTTACGTTGATCGACACGGACGGCAAAGGTCTCGATCGATACACCGAAAACGGTTTTCAATACAACGGCATCGACTACGAGATCGATGCTCTTATTCTCGCTACCGGATTTACGGTTGATCCAGACATGGACCCCTCCGAGAAGAGTCGTATTATTATCAAAGGACGCGAAGGGCTCACAATGAAGGAGTATTGCCATTCTCCCGATGCTGGAACATTCTTGGGCGTCACGATGCCTGGTTTTCCCAATCTCTTCGGCTTCTTCCATGGTTCGTCGGCTTCGTGGAACCATACGTCGAGCATGGATAACGAGGCTACACTCGTTGCAAAGATCGTGACCAAAGCACAAAAGCAGATTGGTCAAGGCCAAAGATTCGTTATCGAAGCTTCGAAGGAGGCGGAACACGAGTATGGTCTCGAAGTCGCGAAGAGAGCGACCTGGTTCGCCGCCATGTCTTCATGCACGCCCGGCTACTTCAATGGCGAAGGTATGGCAACCCTCAAAAGCAGAGAACCGAAAACCCAGGAGCAGCGTCTCCAGCAAGGGAAGAAGGCACCGTGGGGTGGTGGGCCGGTGGATTATAGAGAGATGGCTGAGGATTATGCTACCAACAAAAATCTTCAAGGTTTTACTATTGAGGTAGTTTCGGCGCAGGCATAAGGATCGTAGTATAGATTTGCTTCTGTATGAAGAGTCATGTGCAACAAGTGCGATATTCTCCGAGCCAGTGTTACGAGAAGAAATGCTTGTGATGACTAATTCGGTAGTGAACCCCACAGATGGATAGCGCCGGAGCATAGGACACTAGCTACTAGTCCCTTCAAGACTAATCTACATACACCCTCGATATACTGCTCCTCCCCCTTGATATTTTCTACTCACAAAAACCTCAATCGATCGTCCATACTCTCGGACTTCGCAATGGCCAGCGATCCCATCATAGCTTTCGATTATGGTATGTGTCTACTCAGGCATCTCTCAGGAACAAACACAAAGACTGACACTCCCAAGATATGTCACCCTATGGCTACAAGACTAGAACCTTACTGGCTTCCAGCAAGATGCCATTTCAGCGCAGCCTTCAGCCCATAGTGATCCCTCGGCCGATTTTGGAAAGCCTCTCAATTACGTATCGCCGCGTCCCGCTCCTTGCTATCGGGAAAGACATCTACTGCGATAGCTCGCTCATCATATCTACCCTCCAGGAGAAATTCGATATCCTCCCGACCTCGCCTGCAGACAAAGCATACGAAGCTTTTGGCATCGCCCTTTTCGACAGCGTCCTCAAAGTCATACCTTCTGCGATGCTAACACCAGATGCCATCAAAGACCGCATCACCATCTTTCAGATACTCAAGCATCCGGATTATGCTTCGCTAAGACCAAGTGGGTTGGCGGAAGTTCGAGCCAAGTTCCACATCATCGAGACTGAATTCCTCGCCGGTCCGGGACAATACATAGACGGGGACTCGTTCACGCTTGCTGATCTACACGTTGGATTCGCGATGGAATTCGCGCTGAAAGTGCAGGGTCTGATTAACGAAGCCGGTTTCAGTGAGAATGATTTTCCACGGATATATGAATGGATCTCCAAATGGCCAAAGGCGGAGTTCACGGAGGTTGACCCAGAACAGGTGCACAAGACGATTAAGAGTGCGAATTACTCAGCGCAAGAAATAGGTGTGGATTCGACGGACCTGATTGGTATTGCGGAGGGGACTGAGATCACGGTGGAAAGCGCTGATGCGGACCCTGGTGCACATCCACAAAAGGGGGAATTGGTTGGACTTAATGGAAGAGAGGCGGTATTACAGTTGGAAAGTGGTGTGAGGCTACATTTTCCAAGGGTAGGGTATGTGATGAAGGAGGCTAAGACTCAATAAGACGACTCCTAAAGCAAAGGTGGAGAGAGGTTATCTTCTTGCTCACGAATTGTATTGTGACGGAGTACCAACGTAGAACCGCTAGAAACAACCTTTTTCGATCTTTTTCTTTTGTAGCAGTCGTGTCAGCAGCGATGCTGGCAGCACATCACCAGTCCCGAAAATCTGGTAGAGTTCCTTCTCTGCCTTCATTTCGTAGAGCACTAGATATGCAGTCAGCAACCTGTCAATGATGTTTTATCCCTTCAACTACCTCTTGACCTTTTCTTTTGGTTTTCCTGCGGGGTTGAGGCGTAAATCCGATTCAAACGGACAGTCAAGGCGATTGTCGGTATGCCAGACACATCCAACTGATCCTAAGCCCGAACATTGTCGCCGCAAAAGCGATCCTCGATAGATTTCAGTGATTGATCAATAATTGGGTGCACATCGAAGCGTGAGCAACCGTCCTGATATGATTCGTTGTTGATTAGGTGGCTTGCGTTGTTGGTCAGCTTTGCCTGCGGCGAACAACAAACGGATGAACGACAACGAAACAGGAGAATGACAGCGATGCAGATGCCCTAGGAATAGAACAACGTCAAGTGCAAACGAACTCGGAGTTTAACGTATTTACTGCGCGGGGATTGCGTTCAATATTTATGTGAATCGGCGCAATGTTACGGCGGGGGTTGCTTGTGGTGGCGGTTCGCTAGCAGCAACGGCCGTAGCCTTATGACGGTGCAGCCACATTACTTGCATAATCGTTGGAGCGCTGTTGAGATTGTGCCGACAACCATCTAGACATCGCATCTTAGGCCAGCCATCATGGAGATGGAGGCGCCAGAGATGCAGTATATGAATGGCATGCTGCGACACTCACCGCTCAGCATCCCAGATTTGCCAACAACTCCACAACTGCGTCACAAAACGCCCAACCTGTTACTTCACATCGCATTCGAAGAAATCTTCTTGTTATAATGGCTGCCGCCAATATCAAGTACAAGCCTGTATCCGATATCCCCAGTCTATCTGGCCGAGTGTTCCTGATTACTGGTGGTAAGTAGCGTTCTTGAACTCCGATTATCTCCCGCTAACTTTCACAGGCACCAACGGTCTTGGTGCATCATCAATCTCTTTTATAGCATCTCACAACCCAGCACATATCCTCTTCAGCGGTCGCAACAAAGCTCGTGCGGATGACCTTATCTCTAAGATTGCGCAAGCCTCGCCTTCTACCAAAGTCACTTTCGTTGAGTGCGACCTGGCCAGCCTCACCTCTGTTCAATCTGCCGCCAAGCAGATTCTGTCGTCCACAGATCGTCTCGATGTTCTGATGTGCAACGCAGGTATCATGGCCGTGCCAAATAGCGTGAGCAAGGACGGGTACGAAATCCAATTTGCGACAAACCACCTTGGCCATGCGCTGCTCATGAAGCTACTCTTACCCCTCATGCTCGAGACTGCAGCGCAGCCCAACGCCGATGTCCGCATCGTCAACCTCTCATCGGTTGCTTATAAAAACAACATACCTTCCACCGGCATCGAGTTCCAGAAACTGAAGACCAAGGGCGCAAACTACGGGTCATTCTTCGCACTGAACAAGTGGATCTGCTATTCGCAGTCCAAGCTAGCGAACCTGCTTTACGCCACGGAGTTAGCTGCTCATCATCCTAGCATTACATCCGTCGCGGTTCATCCGGGCTTCATCAAGACAGACATCTTTGCGAGCACAAATTTCATGGACCGTCAGATCGTGAATCTCGTTTCGGGTGGGAATTGGCTGGATACGGAGCAAGGGGCATATAATCAGACGTGGGCGGCCACCACCAAGAAGGAGAACTTGGTAAATGGCGCTTATTACGAGCCCGTGGGTGTGAAGACGACGCCGAGTACGAAGCGTGGGAGGGATCAAGCGCTTGCGAAGGAGCTATGGGAGTGGACCGAAAAGGAGTTGAAGGCGTGGGTTTGATGCCTGAGGGATTGAATTAGCGACTTGCGTTGTAAAGAGAACTCGGCGTTCTTTGTTCAAAATGTAGTTTTTGTTCGTAGATGTCCTAATGCCAATCTCGTGACACCTAGAATTCTTTCCTCTAAACCCGACTGGCGTTGCCGTGTGAGCGGAGTGAGCGGACTGAATGGCTCTCAAGTTCAAACTGTCCCCACTCTCTTGGTGCACGCGTGTCGCGTCGGCTGGTCATTTGGAGAAGATCCCGGATACTTTTCCGTAGGATGCATCGTAACGTTGGCGACATAAGTAGTGGTGCTTGCCGCCATTGCGCGACTGTTTGCGCAAGAAGCGACCTGACGTCCTCGTTTGGTTCATGCTACTACTTGTCGATGGAAGGCCGTGCCTACAGTAGCGATCGACACAGGTTTCCAACGCGCTGGAAGACGGTTTTGCTCCACCCCCATGGGGTAGTGGACGTTGCACGCTCTGTCGACCTACCTTCATGTTTGCACCCGCCCACCAGGTCGACACGGCCGTGAAGATCACGAGGACGACCCGGTATTTTCTCTTGAGCACGTGGTCGAAACGATATCCACTGCGATTCCACTCCGTGGCATTGGCGCGGAAGCTGCACCGGTGCTATACCTGAGGCACCGCTTAAACGGCAGCTATACCAAGAACCATCAACGCGGCGCATACAATGTTCAGCTACAACACTTCCCGAAAAATGAACCCGGTATGCCCCGTGGAGAAACCAAGGAAAGTTATGGACAGTCGCACGATTTATGAAGAGCCAAGACGATGAAGGCCCGGCGGACTGACTTGGCCCCGTCTTGATTGGTCAAATTCGCAGCGGAAAGAGTTTTAGCTCATTCAACTTAGCAACGGCCTCGAGACGAAACCTTGCGCTAAACCACATATACAAGCTTCCCACGGAGTTCTGTCATCCAGCTGCACGAGGCTCTAAGCGCGACCCATAAACCACGCACTGGACAAAGCACGTCTAACACCCCATCCGTGCCACAAGCGTGCGCGCCGTCTCTACTTTTCCCCGCAATGCGGCCCAGGTCAAGATCTTGGACCTGTCTCGGCCTACTTGGCCTAGGCCCCAAGTCCAACAATGCACTGGCTCTAATAAGCCGTGGAAGCACTTGACATGGCGCAACACCAAGATTTCGGTGGCTTGCCAACTTGCCAATACGCCTTTTCTCTGCGACAAGACCACGGAGACTCCAGGGTCGGTGCTGGGCTTCTCACCGGAACCAGTCATGAGTAGGGTTATCGGAGCATCAATACGACGATGCTGTCGGGAAAGCGACTTGGTTTCCTGCGGGTTACCTTCCTAGGATGAGTGCCGTTTATCATATGTTCATCGCGACGTCAGCGAGGAGGGGTTGACGAAGAGGTGGAAGAGGTGATTGCATGACAGAAGCCGTCGATTGCCTTTGCGATGAATCTGCACTTCTCTTTGGAAATGTAGATATCTGTGCGACGCTGTGAGAGCGATTACACTCAGCTCAACTAGAGGGTACACGATCCGGACATCACTAGACCGAATAGGAGACCACCGAACACCGGCTCCGATGTATTAGTCCAAGCCAGATCCCGGTGAAGGCGACAGACTACCTGGCCGCTAGGTATGCCCAGCTTCTAGGGTCGAACCTCCAAGACTATGTGCCGCATGTTTGCATAATATGCGATATATGGTAGAACGCACACTGATAGTAAGTTTCCAAGACCAAGCAAGCGGGCACACTTGCCACCGGAGACCCCTCGCCCCATACCCCAAGCGCCATCAAGCCTCACAACTGTCCAAGGCGGCCGGAAGAAGCGCGCTTGGATGTCTTGGAGTCTATGCATGCGCGGAGGTACCTAGACAATTGTCGTGTGATTTCGGAAGATGGGGACTAGAGATGATCTGGGGGCGATGTTGATCCACAACACCATGTTACATTCTGGGGAGTGGGCAGAAACCTGATGTGTATAAGAGTCCTACTCCACGTCCCCGGATTGTGGCTTCTCCAGGTCAAGCAGCTCACGCTTCGGTTGATCCAAAGGGCTTCTTTCCCACACACTCTTCCTATCTCAACTTGATACTTGCAATTAGTCCGTTGAGCACTTCCACATCATGTTCGACTCCAAGAAGAATGAGATCGTCCAGCTCGAGCAGACGCAAACTCGGGATGAGGAGCTCATGAAGCCTGTGCCTATTGTTGGCAAGGTGGATTACTCTGGTGCCTACGAGAAGACTGATCCCAGAGAGATTGCGCTTGTCAAGAAACTCGACCGATGGATTATGCCCATGTTGTGGAGCATGTACTGGCTCAACTATCTTGGTAAGTCACTGGTCTCGCGACAATGATATCTACCACGATGGTTGTTTATTAACGTACATTTCTATCTAGATCGCAATGCCATCGCACTAGCTCGTCTCGATGATCTTGAAGAAGATCTGAACCTTACCAGCAGCCAGTACCAGACATGCGTGAGCATTCTCTTTGTAGGATACCTCCTCGGCCAGATCCCCAGCAACATGTTCCTCAACCGAACGCGTCCATCGCGATACATGGGTATCTGCATGATGCTCTGGGCCATCGTCTCAGCTCTCACAGCCCTCTCCAAAGATTTTACTGGCCTCCTTCTAACACGCTTTTTCCTCGGTGTCACAGAAGCGCCTTACTACCCCGGTGCTGTCTACCTTCTCTCCACCTTCTACACCCGCAAAGAAGTCGCAACCCGCATCGCCATCCTCTACACCGGAAACATCCTCGCAACCGCCTTTGCCGGCCTGATCGCAGCAGGAATCTTCCACGGCCTCGGCGACGTTGGTGGCATCACGGGATGGCGGTGGTTGTTCATCCTTCAAGGAGCCGTTACGTTTGTCATCGCCGTCGTCGGCTTCTTCCTTCTTCCCGACTTTACGCACAACACGTGGTGGTTGACGCAAGAAGAGCGCGATCTCGCCACCAACCGCATGGCGCTCGACACCGTCGGCAACAAGGGCGAGACATCAGTGTGGGCTGGTTTCCGTCAAGCGGGCAAGGACCCCATGGTCTGGATCTTCGCTTTC